TCTTTCTCTCCCTCCCTCCTTCTCTCTCCTTCTCTCTCCCTCTCTCTCCCTCCTTCCCTCTCTTTTCCTCCCTCTCTGGCTCTCTTCCTCCTCTCTCGCTGTCTCCCTCTCTCCCTCCCTTTCTCCGTCTTTCTCCCTCCATCTGTCTCCCTCCCTCTCCCTCTCTTTCCATCTCCCTGTCTCTCTCTCCCTCTCTCTGATGAAGTTCTCACAGAGGAGGGGTGCACACCAGTCCCTGATCCGATTTTTGTCTCCCCATTGAGGCCTGTGTGATTTTACTGTGTCCAGTGCGAGCGGCCATGGAGCTGTGTGCGCTAACAGTCATGGTGTGAATTCATCATTAACTGTTACTTATCACTTGTTCATCACTGATTGTGAATTGTTTGTTGTTACCTGTTAATGGTGACTCCCTCCAGCTTCGGTAATTTCTCCCGTGAGAACGCGCAGGGCTCCGTGGTGCTGGTACCAACACTGACAGGAGTTTGAGTGGTGGATCTGCTCGGCAGAGCTTCGGGTGTCACTGGAGGAATGAAGGAGACAGAGAGCAGCCCTTCGGCCATTTACAACACAAGCTGTGGCAAAGCAGGGAAGGAGAAGCAAGATCCTGATGGCGCGAAGCACTGTGTGCACATCCTTTTTTAAAAGTAATTTATTCATTTTAATTTGTCGGTGTTTATCCAGCGTGAGCATCTGTGAAGACGTCAGCTCTCGCAATGACACACACCCATGAGCCGTGTGGGTGTGCCGGGGCTTGAACCCGGATTCTCTGGAGGAGCTACGGGAGCCATGTGTCCCGCCTGTGTTTATACATCTGGAGTCCATCGTGAGGGTCCGTCCTGGAGGCTGCAGGGTGTGAGCAGATGGCTGAGGATCACGTCCTGTGAGGCCACCCTTCCTTCCATAACCGGATCCCATCTCCCGGGCGTTTCTAAGCGACAGATTGTGCACCCGTGCTCTAATGACCAAACTTGCATCGACCTTCTCCTGGGGCGTATAAGAACCCTCCGAGGCCTCCATGTTTATTTTGTACATATTCCCTTAGGCATGGAAAATATCACTGTTTTACAAATATGTTTATTGATTTTGGAACTCTACACACGCACAGAATGGACTCTGGTCATAACCACCCCCAACCCTGGAAAATCACTTCTTTCAAGGACAAAATCCACACTGATCATTTGAGTGTTCAAAGCCCATCATGGACATGTCATTTCCACCCTGGTGAAACTCATTCTTACAGATGCCGCACATTCCACCACCGTGACACTAGGGACCTGAGTGTGTCCCCTGGGCTAGGGTCACATGTTCACACCATCTTGACCCTCAGAGCACTGCATGTAACAGCGACAGGGTTAGGGAAGAGCAGCCTTAAACACAGAAAATAATGTAAGTAGTGAGAAAACGTGACCACATAGAAATAGTGTGAAGAGTGTAAATAGTAATAGAACATAAAAATAAAAATAAATCACATAAATAATAAAATGTACAAAATACATAAATAAATAATAAAAGGGTAATCCTTTATAAATATCGAAAATAAATAATATAAACAATATAAGTGACAAAATATAACAATAATATGAATTTAAAATAATATAGAAAATATAACAAGAAAAAATGTAAATGATAACATAAAACAATATAAAAATAAGACCAGTGTAAATAATCAAATAAAATATAAAAACATGAAAATAAATCATAAATAATAATGTAAAATGTAAAAAGTAAAAGATATAAACATAAAATACAGAAAATATAAAAATAAATATGTAAATAATATAAAAAACAAAAGTAAAAGTAAACAATATAAATAAAATAATATAATATAAAAATACAAACACTGTAAATCATAAAAGAAAATAATATAAAAACAGAAATAAATTACATAAATCATAATATTAAATATGAAAAAGAGAAAATATAATATAAACATATAAAATATACAAAGCATAAATAATATAAAGAAAAATACCAAATATGAATATATATAATAAATAATAGAAATAACAAAATAATATAAAAATTTTGTAAATAACATGAAATATAAAAATATAAAATATAAATAATAAAAGTGTAACCGTTTATAAATGTACAAAATAAATGATATAGACTACATAAAATATATTAAAAAATAATGTAAAGTCTACTAAAAAATACAAACATATATAAATAAATAATATGAAAATAAAAATAAACAATAAATTACATAAATATAAAATAATATTTAAAATATAAAAAGAAATAATATAAATAATATAAAATACAAAAATAAAAAACTACTGTAAGTAGTAACATGAAACAATATAAAATATAACAATGTAAACAATAACATAAAGTAATATAAAAATAAAACTAAATAACGTAAATAATCAAATAATATAAAAATAATATTAACTTAGTAATGAACAGTGTAATAACAAAATATTCTAAGTAAATAGAAACAATATAGATATTATAAATAACATAAAAATATAAAAGCTATGTAAATAAAATAGAAAAATAGAGAAACACTGTATATAACATAAAATAATATGAACGTATAAAGAGAAATAATGTGAATAAAATTAAATAATATAAACAGAGAAACAAACAATGTAAGCAACAACCTAAAACTTTATAAAACTAGACAACGAAACAACTTTGACCTCGTCCCCGTTTTACTTCCAGCGTCTGGCGCGGCTGACCCCGCCCACTTCCGGGATTCTGACATCACAGCGGACCAAGGAACTCGAACCTGTTATTGCGACTCCCTGAGGCACCTGCAGTCAAGGGTGGACAGACCGGAAGTGCTGTGGAGGGGCTCACGCCGCGGACAGCTGCCCTAACTCATTGCGTTCCGTGGAATACATTCCCGGAGGGACGCCGAGCTGTGCGCTTCCGCTGAGGCCTGCTGGGAATTGTAGTTCCAATGCCACCGGCAGTGGAGGCCACTTCCGCCGTGGCCTGTAGTTCCTGCCCCAGCGGGGTTCCCAGGTCCGCTTTTGCTGAAGCCTGCTGGGAATTGCAGTTCCAGCGCCAGCGGAGTTCAAGGTAGCTTCCGCAAAGGCCTGCAGGGAATTGTAGTTCCGGCGCCAGCGGCTGCCGAGGTCGCTTCCGCTCTAGCACTGCGAGCCTCCCGGCAGCGCCTCTGTGGACTAAGTGCACGGAACTTTCAGCGACTCTTCGGCGTTCTGGGACGCTGTTCGCCTCCGCTGATGGCTTCCGGGAGATGTAGGTCCTCCAAGGTCACTTCCGCTCAGCGCTCCCGGGCGGAACCAGCATCGGGGACGGTCACTTCCTCGCTGAGGCCTGCTGCGAATTGTAGTTCCGGCATCCAGAGTTTTTTTTTTTTTTTTTTCACTCCGCTGCGGCCTCCTGGGAAATGTAGTTCCGGTGCCCGCTTCCCAGTGAGCCACCAATGTGTGCACGTGGAAAAGGATGGATGGACGGACTTGGAGACCTGTGTCAGGGACGCTTTCTAAGCCCCTCATGGCCCCTTGTGTGTAACTGGCAGTTTCTAGGACGCTCATGACTCCTTGTGTGTGAATTGGGCGTTTCTAGGCCCCTCATGGCCCTTGTGTGTAAGTGGGGTGGTTTCCAGGCTCCTCAAGTCTCCTGTGTCTGAGTGGCAGTTTCTAGGACCCCCTGCCCCAGCTCAGGAAGGCGACTGGAAAGAGAAGGTCGTGTTGCTGAAGGTCGAGAAGGCATCACAGGCCCCCTCATGCTGCAAGCTACAGGGTCTCCTCCCGCCGATCACGTGGGCCCTTTCTCTGCCCTGCTGTTTCCAGTTTCTGTCACTTCCTGTGTCACATGCATGAATACATCCCCACAGGTCACCGCTCCGCCAGGACCCAGACAAGCAGGAGGCTGAGGTCATCTGACAGCACCGACTCATCCAGAACCAGATCCAACCGGAAATTCCCGTCAGTTTCAAACCAAGAAACGGAAACGAACCAACCGGAAATCCCGGAAGTGCGAACACTAACACGGCAAAAGTAAAATTAATTAAATTAAATTACAAATTCCGAGATAAATCCTGAAATACCACGAAAAATTATCTAAATAATATTTTTGAAATTTTTCTAATTTCGTTTTCATCTTCACTTACACATTCTATCGAATTCCCCCCACCAACCCCGCTCTAGAAAATTCTCAAAGAACAACCCTTCACCCGCTAGTGCTAGTGTGAAATGCGGATTCAGATCAGAATTTTCAAATATTTTTTTTTGGTTGAATTTCCCAGCAGGAGACAGTCGGAAAAAAATAAAATGAAATAAAAATAATATAATATAAAAAATAAAATAAAATATCCAGGAATCTGTGGAAACTCGTCCCAAAGAAGGAAATGTCTAAATAAAATATTGAATTCCAGTTGGAAAATTTAAAAAATAAAAAAATTAATTTTATAAAAAAGATCTTTAAAATAATTTTTAAAAATTGAAATATTTTCAGGAAATAGATGGAGGCACTGTTTTTTCCAGCTTTAGAAATAATTAGAATATAAAATTAAGAAAAGTAAAAACCATTAGACAATAAAATAACATTTTAAATAAAATAATAGAAATTAAAAATATTCGACAATTTAAAAAAAACTTCAGAAAAATATTTTCCAAACTAATTTTTTTAAAAAAATTCTACATCCCGTATATATTTTTAAAATCTCCAAACCCGTCTTGAAAATACGAGAACCCCGTGCCAGAAAATCCTTGAAACTAAAATTCTGATTTTTCATCCTGTAAAACCGTCCGGGGTTTCTCTGGACGGTTTCTCTCCCCGAAATTGAAATCTGCTTTTAAATTTTTCCTATTTTTTTTAAATTTTATTTATTTGTTTGCTTGTTTGTTTCCCACCCCATTTTTCCCGATTTCTACCTGGATTGTTTTTTATAATATATATTTTTCAATATTTACATTTTCCTTTTTTATTTAAAAAATTTTTACACACTTTTTTTCTTATTTTTGTCTTTTTGCACATGACCCTTCTGCAGTTTCAATTTTTTTTCCCAACTTTTCTTTAAAAAAACATTCGATTTTGGTTGTATGAGTCCGCCAGCCCCTCGTGGAATTCGTTGCTTTGGATTCTATTTCCCAGTTGTTGTTGTTGTTGTTTATTAAATTTTGATTCAAAATTCAAAATTCGAATTCTGTCCAGTTATCTCCGGGACAGAAATCCCAGTTTCTTTTTCCAGCAGAATTTCACACTTTTCCTCAGCTACAATCAGGAAATTTCTTGGTTTTGGTCAAATCAAGATTCTCAATTTTCAGTGAAATAAAATTTTCCATGGGGGGGGGGGTAGTTGTTTTTTGTTTTTCTGTTTTTTGTTTTGTTTTGTTTTGTTTTTCCGGATTAGGGCAAATTCCTGACCGACTGCAGGAACCTTGACGGCTTTAAATTTTTCCCCCCCACCAGAATCATGACATCGGAGAAACTTCCCACATATTCTGAAATGCTTTCCCGACGTTTCCCATAGAAATAAAAATTCACGTTTTTATTGAGTAGCTTCTGTTCTTTCTCCCTCGATGACACTGACGCTCGTGACTCAAGTTCAAAATTTTTTTAAAAATTCAAAAATTTCAAAACTTTAAAATTTGAACTTTTCTTTTAATCCCAGTTCAGTCTCTTCACATTTGATCAGGGATGGGGGTGGGGCCTATAGGGGGCGTGGCCAGAGCGCGGCCGAGGACCTGTCAATGGTGGGGTATCATGGGAGGTTCTGGGATCATGGGGGATCTGGGAGATTTGGGGATCATGGTAGGTTCTGGGGATCATGTTGGGTTTTGGGGACCATGGTAGGTTCTTGGGATCATGGGGAATCTGAGAGGTTCTGGGGATCATGGGCGGTTCTGTGTTGTTGGGGGATCATGGAGGATCATGGGAGGTTCTGGGATCCTGGGGTACCCTTGGAGATTCTGGGTATCATGGGAGGTTCTGAGATCTTAGGTGATCATGGAGGATCATGGGAGGTTCCGGGGATCATGTTGGGTTCCGGGGACCATGGGAGGTTCTTGGGATCATGGGAAATTATGGGAGGTTCTGGGGACCATGGGAGGCTGGTTAGCATCCTGGGAACTGTGGGTAATTCTGGGCCTGGAATCCGGGGGTATCACGCTGGGGTCTTCCAGGAGAGATCTGGACCTCGGGCCAGCGGTCCTTACCCTCATCGCGTGCTTGGATGGCGGCGGGGCGGGGTGGGGGGGAGAATCAGTGTGGAGGTTTCTAGAGGTCACCCTCGGTGGTTTCTAGGGTCCCCCGTGCCATTTGTTAGGGTCCTCATGTCCGTTTCTGGTGTCCCCGATCCCAGTGGCAGTTTGTAGAATAGATGTGATGGTATCTAGGGACCCCTGTCAGTTCCGAGAGTCCCCATGCCAGTTTGTAGGGACCCTGTGGCAGTTTCTAGGGTTCCCATGGCAGTTTCAAGGGTTTCCCGTGCCGTTTTTAGGTTCCCAATGTTAGTTTTGGGTGTGCCAGATCCCCCATCTTAGTTTCTAGGGTCTTCCATGCCATTTTGAGGGTCCTCGTGTCAGTTTCTGGTGTTGAGGGTCCCTGTGGCAATTTCAAGGGTCCCCCATGCCATTTTCATGGTCCTAACGTCAGTTTCTGGGGCGCCCGATCCCCAGCGACGGTTTCTTCGGTGTTGATGACACGAGCGTGTGGGGCAGGGTGAGCAATCTCCCGCTATACCCGAGTGGTGGAGTGGCCAAAGGCGTGCAGTGGTGGGAGCCCGGCCAGCGCATTGGGCACCATGGTGATGGCACTGGGCACAGCAAGGGGTGCAGCGTCGTCAGGGGCACGACGCAGCGTGAGTGCGTAGTCTGGCGGGCCAGTGGGCAGCCGCAGGGCATCAAGGGATGAGGGCGATGTCACTGCTGCCCCGGGGTCCTCCTCCCGACCACGTTTCAGGGCATCGTTTCCAGGGCGGTGGGCAGAAGTATATCCGGAAGTGGGACCAGAAGTAGAAGCAAAACCAGAAGTGGGACCAGAAGCCGAGGCAAACCCGGAAGTCGAACCGGAAGTTGCACCAGAAGCGGAAGTGAGCCCGGACGCGAACCCTGAAGTGCCACCGGAAGCAGCCATCCTTCGGTGGTGGGTCTCATGTCGCCGCTTGTCCTTCTTGTAGTAGAGGGCAGCGAAGGCCAGGATGTTGAGGAAGAGGAGGGAGGCACCCACGGCAATGGTGACACTGAGCTCCGTGGAGTAGTCACGTCGCGTTTCAATGAGCACCGAGGCCTCACCTGGCCCTGGGTTTGAGTCCCGCGAGGATGAAGCTGACGCAGAAGAGGAGGAAGAGGCGGGCCTCCCTGAGGAGGGTGGGGCAGGCCGACGCGTGGGCGGCCACGCCCTGCGGGGGCCAGGCTGGGCACGTGGGGCGGCGGTAGGTGTGGTCAGGTAGGGGAAGGCCTCGCGCAGCCCGTGTAGGTGCGGCACCAGCTCCAGCCAGAAGGCCACCTTGGTGGCTCGATAGTGGTCACGCACGCGCGGCCGCAGCCCAACGTGCAGGTAGAGGCGCTCCCGTGGTGTGTACTTTGGCCAAGCCACTGCCTCGAAGCGGTTGGGGCGTGTGTGCGCAAACTTGGTGTCCTGTGGCACCGGACGGTTGGGGTCCCTGCGGGGGTGGGGGAAGAGGGGTGGAGAGGTCGGGCTCATCGGAGGGACGCACACTAAATATAGGTGTGTGTGCACGTGGTTCTTCTGATACTGACGCCGCCCTGCCTCTCCCCTTCCCCTCTCCCACTTCGCCATCCTCTGGGCATGCTGTGCCCCTACCTCTTCCTCATCCCACCTGCCCCACCCCTCCCCTTTGTCTTTCTCCTAAGCCCCCCCCCCCGCCCCCCCCTTCCCCCCCCCCACTCCCCACCCACACCTCCCCACTTAGGCACTCCTTCTGCCCCACCCCTCACCCTCCCCCACAATGCTCCAGTTCCCTGCCCAACCCCTCCAGTGGTCACTAAACCAGCCCCGCCCCTCACTTCCCGCCCACTCCTTGCCCCGTCCCTGCCCCCTCCTCAAATCACTCCATTACTCACCCCACCCCTCCAACTCGCCTCACCCCCTGCTTTTCCACTCCCCTAGCCTCTCCCCCAGCTCCGCCCTTAACCCCTCCCTCCCCAGTCCATCACCCTATCACTCAACCCTCGCCCGGCCCCTGCCCTGCCCCTCCTGCGCCTTCCACAATCCTCTCCTTGCCCCACCTTCACCACAACCACACCCCCACCCCTCCCCTTTCCACCTTCTCCGTGGCACTCATGGCTTCCTCCTGCCCCGCCCCTCCCCCGCCCACCACTCACCCCGTCTTGGCGAAGTTGGTCCAGTACGTCATGACGACGGCGCTGAGCATTACGTCATTGCGCGTGAAGTTGCACGGGAAGAGGGCGGCAGCATTGGCGGCTGTGGCCACGGCGATGTCACTTCCGGCCGCGCCCTCGCTTCCGACTGCTCCAACCCCACCCCCGGCCGCCGCCAGCACGAGCATCGGGACCCCGAACACGAAGGGCAGCTCGTCGCCATGGGCCGCGCCCGCTTCGGCCGCCCATGCGGGATGCGCGTCCCCCCGGCACGGGTGTGCGAAGGCGTAGAAGTAGGTGGCCGAGCCGTAGCGGGCGTGCAAGTCTGCGGTGGCCACCGCGGGGGCCGCCCACTGGTGGTCCGTCAACATGGCCGCCAGGGCGCGACGCCTTGACCCCGCCCCGCCCTCACGCTCCGCCCAGTCTGTGTACATGAAGCGCGCCGTCTCGCGAAGGGCGGAGTCCCCGCCGGCTCCACCGCCCCAGCCGGCCACGCCCATCTCCCCTCCCGGGTAGCCGTACAGCGCATCCACGAAGGCGGCAACAGCGAGTTCGAAGCCTGCAGCCGACACCTCCTCCTCCTCTTCGCCATCCGCTGTGACGTCGCCGCCGCCGTCCGGGTGGGCGGGGTCGGCCAGGGCCACGCCCTCCGCCTGGTTGACGCCCAGAAGGATGTCGTAGTTGAGGAACTCACCCTGCTCCATGAGGATCTGCGGGTCGTCAGGCACCACATCACCATCGATCACTGGCCCGAAGGCCACGTGAAAGGGCGCGGACGCGGGCACCGAACCCGCGGCCCGGGTCAGCTCGCGAGCGCCTCGGCGGCGGAGGCAGGCCACTAGCGCAGCTGACGGGGAGGGCGGGTCATGCACCGAGGACGTCAGGGGAGGTGTCGCCGCGGTGTCCGGGGGCGAGGTCGCCGACGTCACGTCTCCCCCGCAGCCCACACGGGCCCCGAGCATGCGCGCATAGGCCGCCGGCTGGTAGTTGACGGCCCAGCTGGACAGTGCGGTGCCGCTCTGGATGATGGCCTTCTGGAACAGGCCTGCGGGGGGGAGGGGGCGGCCGGAGAGAAAGGGAGTGGTCACCAAGGAGGGCGAGGTCATGGCGGAGGGGAAGGATTGGAGGATGGAGGGACATAGGGAAGGCTTGGGGTGGGCCGGGGAAGGGCTCACAGCATAGGTGGGGTCAGGAGGAAGGGATGGGGTCACAGTGAGGTGGTGTAAGGGGAGGGACGAGGTCATAGAATGGGCGGGGGCGGAGTTAGATGGAGGGGCAATGTCAGTGGGGAGGGGGTGGGGTCAATGGGGAAGGGGCGGGGTTAGTCGGGATGGGGGAGGGACACATGGAAGGAGTAGGGCCACAGGGAGGAGTGTAGTCGGCAGGAGGGGCGTGGTCAGCGTGCAGGGGAGGAGTAAGAAGAAAGGAGGCAGGGGCAGTTGAGAGGGGGCGGGAACCCACGGTAGAGAGTCAGAGGATAGGGGCGCAGCCATGGAGGGGCAGGGTCAGCGGGGAGATGGAGATGTGAAAGGTAGGGTGGTTAGGGGGAGTAGTGAGAATAGGGCGGGATCACACGGATGTGTGGGTCACAGGAGGGCCGGGAAGGTGCAGGGCCCCGCACACAATCACACGGGAGGGTCAGATGCGGTCAGACGGACATCAGGAAAAGGGTGGGTTCAGCAGGGAGAGGAGACGTCATACAAGGGGCGGGGTTAGCAAAGAGGGAGGAGTCAGTAGAGGGGGCGGAGTCAACAGAGAAGAGGTGGGATCAGTGAGAAGTAACACCGGAAGGGTCATGTCCAGAAGGGATGGGAAAAAGTCAGCAAGGAGGGGGCATGGAGAGGAGTGGGGAATGGTTTGTTGTTAAGAAGCGTGGCCCAGTCCAAGGGGCGTGGTCATCAGAGGTGAGCAGAGAGCAGGGAGGGACGTGGTGAGGAAAAGAACAGAGTGAGAAACGTCCATCCCACCTTGACTGGGGAAGGGGGCAGTTACCCATCAGGAGCAGGGGGAGTGCGCAGAGGAGATGGGGTCACGAGAGACGCCCCCAGTAAGGAAATATACTACGTGTGGGTGGGGGAGAGGGAAATGAGCAGAGTCAGGGAAGAGTCAAACAGTAGGCGGGTCTGCACAAGGGGCCCGGAGCAGCCTGTCAGTCACATGGGCAGTTGACTCCGAAGAGGCCTGAGGGACGGTGGGGCCAGTTGGTAGATGTGGCTACAGTGTGAGGACATGGCGGCCCCTCCTCCTGCCGACACTGGCACCCGCCCCTCCCGGGTGACACCGCCCCCTCCCTCCACCTAAAAACAAGACTGAAAGTTCCTCACCCTATGAGTTCTCTCGTGAGTCTGGCCCTGACCACGCCTCTCTGTGACCCTGTCCCTCCCTTGTGGTCACAGCTTTCCACTCCCACACAGTGACTGTTTCACATTCTCCACGTGTGCGATTTCCTTGTGCCCCGCCCACCACAAGTGACCTTGCCCCTGCTGTGACCCCGCCCCTTCCCCCCGATGTCCCCTTCCCTTCCCTGCTGTGATCCCGGTGATCCCCCTGATGTTACCCCATCCCATCCTATTTCCCCAACCCCTGCTGTGACTGCGCCCCTCCCTTGACACTGCCCCGCTGTGACCCCACTTCGTTCCTGCTGTCCTCGCCCTGCTGTAATCCTGGCCCTTCCCTGCAGTCCCCGCCCCCTCAGGTGACCCCGCCTCCCATGACCACGACCTCTGAGCGTTACTCCCGCGGTCCCATCCATCCACTCACCTTCCGAGTAGTGCGACAGCGTGAGCAGGCTCACGCACGAGGCTCCGGCGCCCGAGCCGAAGACCGTGACACGGGCGGGATCCCCGCCGAAGGCGACCGCGTTCTCACGCAGCCAGCGAAGCGCCTGCATCTGGTCCAGCAGCCCGTAGTTCCCACGCGCTGCAGGGTCGCCCGTGCTCAGGAAGCCTGCCAGGGGCAGAGCCACGGGGGGTCATGGTGGTTCACAGGGGTTTCTGAGGGGTCATGGTGGTTCACGGGGTTCACAGGCATCACAGGAGTCATGGAGGGTCACCCAGGGCGACACACTTGCCATACACATCCATCACTCCTGTGATGTCACCAAGCAATCAGCCAGGGTGATCAAATGATCACTTGCACACATATGCACCTTTAACTGAGCATGTGCACTCTGTACGTATTTGCACATTTACTTCCTGTTTGAATGGACTGTGTGGGAGACATGTCCTGCATGTGGGCGTGTTGGAGTGCATGGGTGTGTCATCAGGGGCGGGGTGGGTTTGGGGATGGGGCTCACCGAGCGCGCCCAGCCGGTAGTTGAGCGTGACCACAATGACATCGCCATAGCTCGCCAGCACACTGCCATCCATCATGTTCCCCGTGCCTGCCATGTATGAGTCGCCGTGGATGAACACCATGACCGGCTTGCGTGTGGCCGGGTCGCGGGTGTCTGTGGAGGGGGAGGAAGGTCAGGAGACGGGTCCAGGCACCCTCTGCCCACTTCTGGCCACACACACCTCAGACCAGAAGTACTTCCGATCCTACATCCGGCTTCTTCAGTCGCAGATGGAAGATCTCCACCCACTTCCATCTCACTTCCTATTTGTTGACTGACTTCTAGATGTCATGAATCCAGCCCTGCCTACTTCTGAGTACTTGAGTCATTGATGTCACAGCTCCACCGACTTCTGCCTCACTTCCGGGTTTTTAATTGAGCCAAAGAGATCCTAGTCGGCCTACTTCCAGATTATTGAGCAATGGACGGTCTAGCGCCGCCCACTTCCGGGTCTCACTTCCTGTTTGTTGAGTGACTTCCATATGCCTCCAGATACTCCTGAGGGTGTGCACCTCCGGCCACTTCCGGTGTTACTTCCCAGTTCTTAACGGAATCACAGATGCCCTAGCCCTGCCCACTTTCGGCTTCACTTTCTGATTGTTGCCTGCTACATGCTCCTAGTATGGCTCCGCCCATTTCCATTTTCACTTCGGGAATCACTTTGAGATTCCTACTTACTGATGCCCCTGAGCACCCGGTTTAAGGAAAAGAAAATGGCGCCTGTCCCCACCCACACCTTGCCCCTCGTGTCCTCATGAGAAATGGTAGACAGGAAGTGCACCACCTACTCTGCCTTCCCTCACTAGACCCTGAGGGTCTGGCTAATATGCAAATGAGCTCCTGAATATTCAAGAACATATCAATATCGGGATGGCCTCGTTGATATTCAAGAAATCTCAATATTCATAGAATTCATTAATATTCACAATTGGCCTGAATGGCTTGGCTATGAATATGTAAATGAGGTGATGAATATACATAATCTTCGGGGGCTCCAATCCCCTTCTGATTCTGAAATTAGTTGATAAAATAATTTAACGTTTTTGGATATTTAAAATTCTTTCACTTCACAATAGAAACTAAATTACTTAAGTTGTTTATATGAAAAATTGTTTACTCAAATTTATTTATATTTTAAATGTTATTCAAATTATTGAAATTTTAAAAATATTTTAAATTTAAAAAACTTTGTTATTTTCAAAAGGCACTTTTCCGGGGACTGAAAACAAAAAGATGGAAAATTGGTAAAGAAAAATAAAATTTGTGAAAAAAGCCAGGAAACTGATTTCTAATTTAAAAAATATTTTTTCTCTTCTAAAATCCAAATGCTTAAAAAAGGTTTTTGCATAAATCACAAGTGTGTTCGGTTTTCCTCCTTTAAAATCTAGATTCTGTTTCCTTCACCTTCTGGCAGCTTACATGCCTGCGGTTCTTTCTTTCACCAAAAAAACAAAATTAAATTGACTGCTCTGTAAATATTTTTCAAACCTGTCACCATTTCAAGGAGAAAAGAAAGAGACGAATAAAATTTCCAAAGACTGAAAAACAAAACAAAACAACTAAAATTTAAACAGTAAAAATTAAAAAAAAAATTAAAATTCTGGAATCCGCACACATGGGGTTAGAGGAGAAAAACATCCCATTTTCTCTTTTTCTCACACAAAAAGTAAATTGTTAAATTGTTTTTTTAAATGTTAAATTGTTAACATTGTTCAAAAACAACAGTATTTCAGAATTTTTTGCAATTTTGAAAATTCCAAAAGAAAAGTTGGATATTTTTGTGTGTGCACACAGGAAAGTGCCACTGGTTTCTGATGGGGAAAACAAGAAAATGTGAAAACGGGAAGGAAATGGACGAAGGTTTGTTCTTCATGGCGCCCAAAACAATAAAAAAATACAAAATTTTAAAAATTTTAATAAAAATTTAAATTTTCAAAATTTACCAAAAAATATTTAAAATCAGAAAAAAAAAAAAAAAAAAAGAAGAAGCTACCTGGGTCATCCCCGCGCTCGTCACTGCTCAGGTCCTCGGTGAGGCTCCGCACATGGCCTCCTGCTCGAAGGGAGGGGGGTGTGTGACAACGAGAAAGTGAGAAGATTCAAGAGTGAGAGGCTACGTGCGTGAACATCGAGAGGAGGGAAAAATAAGAGGAAAAAAGGGAAAAATGGAAAAGAGAAAAACGAAAAAAGAGGGAAAAAACAAGAAAAGAATAAGGAAAAAAAATCTGGAAATCGGAATTTTGTCGAAATTGGAAAAAAAAGAAAGAAAAGAAAACGGAGAAACCTCAGGAGACGCGGGGATTCGTGCAAACGTAAAAAAACAAAATGAAAAACGAAAAAGTTTTCTCAGAGAAAAAAAGAATTGGTGTTGCCACGCGTGTTAAAAAGTTCAAAACTGATACGTGGAAAGGAAGGTTTCCTGATTGACATCACGAGGGCGGGGTCATCGACACGGCGGGGCGGAGTCTGGGAACCAAGATTCCCAAGTGCAAAATTCGAAAATTTCCAAAAAAGTTTTACGAATTCTCCAGTTCAAGTAGTCTCAGGGTCCCGCCTCCCCTGTCACACCTCCTCACATGCACAAATCCCTTCCCCCGTACCTCAGTGGACACACGACCCCGCCCTGCACAGGCGCGCAAATGTATGCACGTGTATGCAAATGAGTATTATGTACACAGGACTTCGGTCGGTTATGTAAATTAGCCACAGAGGGAGACGCATGCAAATGAGCGGACAAACATGAAAATGGCTTTGGATATACAAAAATTTATGTAAATGTGGGATCGTATGTAAATTTATGCAGATGAGAGAGCAAGCACATGATATCATGGTCACAGCATCGATCTCTGAATCCCAGCTTGGGCCCAAGCGCGAGCAAATGTGTGTGAATGAGCCATGATGTCACACACCACTGTCCCAAGGGAGATGACACCAGACTTCGAAGTCACGTGACGCGCGTGCTCCCGGGTCACTCACCCACGCCCGCCGGCACATACAGGTTGAGGTAGAGACAGTCCTCGTCTTGCTCGCGCGCGTGCGCGGCCACAGCGTCGGGGTCGGCGGCGAGCCAGGCGGGCAGCATGGCGGCGGGGTCGGGGCGCGTGTCGGCGTCCTGGGGACACACGGGGGCGAAGCGCGCGGCCCCTCGCACGCCGGGCCATGGGGCGGGAGGCTCAGGCGGCTGGAAGCGGCGAGGGCCGGTGGGCGGGGCAGCGTAGGGCACGCCCAGGAAGCGTGCCACGGGGCCCAGAGAGCCGCCTGGCAGGGGCACGCGCATGCCCCGCAGCCGCCCGTAGCGCGTGCTCACCACCACGGGCCCCGCCCCCTCCCCAGAGTCCTCGGGCGGCAACGAGGAACAGGACACACATGCGGCCAGGGAGGCCACAGCTAGGCACGCCAGCAGCGCGCCCGAGGTCATGCTCGCCGCCGCACTTTTCACCACGCTTGATGATGTCACGCTCAGTGTCACGGCTTTCATCACGCTTAAAATGCCTTGTGTTCAAGAGCCGATGTCACTCTTATCGTCAGGATCGCTGTCACACTGGACGGCATTCACCTTGGTGGCCATAAGGTCCCCGGACCCGAGGCATGGTTTACAAGGGCAGCATGTGGGGCAGGGCGGCAAGACCAGTGAGGGTGACACACACACACACAGGGCATGTGGCCTCCGTGGTGAGTGTGTGATGCGCGTGTCACCGGAGGGAGGGGCTCCAGACTGGGGGCGTGTCAGTCATGGCTGCCATGGATCCATCGTTCCACGTCCGGCTTGGGTCATGGTAACATGCCCTGAGCAGGGAGAGACCCGGTATATATGTGACCTACACAGGCACATATAGGTGGAAACACAGACGCGTCTCTGAACATTGCACACACACCTCAAATGTGTGGGCCTGGTGTGTGCCCTGTGTGTGTGGGAGTGCAGGGCGAGTCCAGATCAGCCGTGTGTGTACATGTGCACTCTCCCCCACCGGGCTCACTCACCTCTCCTCACACACCGTCACGTGTGCCCACCATGTTGGGAGGCGATGTCCTCCTTGGGGTCTTGGATATGTGTATGGGCAGGTCTGGGCCGTCGCTGGTGGCCATTGTGGGGGCCTGAGGAGGGAAAGCACAGGCGTTGGTGCCACAGTCCTCCCCCCTCTAGCTTTCTGACTTCTGGGCCATACACACATGCACACACACACACACACACACACACACACACACACACACCCCGGGTGACACTGCCGGCCATGCCCACAGGCGTTGAGGGTCAGAGTGGGAAAGGGCACAGCCGTGGTGGGGGCGTGGTGTGAAGCTGTGTGCGATGAATGTGTACTGTGTCATGCATGCGCAGTGTTTACCCTCACCGTGTGAGCTCAAGTGCTGAGACGCCTCACAGAGGCTCACACCATCTGTAAGTCTGTACACTTGTGGGGGGGGGAAAGTGCTTGTGTCTGAGCTGTACCTATTTATACGTATAGGCCGGCATCACACAGAGGCACACACACCTTCATCCACACACATGTATTTACACATGCATACAAATGTTTACTCGAACGTACTTACGCAGACAGGTATTTTCACTCACGGGTAGACTTACTCGAATATTTACTGATACTCGTATGCACACAGGCTTACACACATGTACTTTCACAGACATTTGCACTTACACTCACAATTAACAAATTGAGAGCCACAGATGAAGCTGTGTACCGTGAACGTGGGACCTGGACATAGACTGTCACAGCCGAGCACACACAATACAGACACACGATACAGACCTGACATGAAATACACATCCTGGGGCACTATGCCGTCCATGCCAGGCGGGGTGTGTAACGTGTACACGGGGCTGTTTGGTACGTGTGTCGTACGGTGTTCTCTCGAGTGCGTAATGTCTGCACACCACCACACACACACAAACACGTCTAGGCACACCTCAAGACCTGTCAGCTGCATGTGAAGCTTGGGAAGCCCTCACACCCATTGCAGGGAGCGGGTGCTCGCTGAGGCGCTCACTGAGGCCCAGGCTGGCCTTGCCCGGCCCAGGCACACACGCTCACACAGACACACACAGAAGCACAGACACACGCGCGCGCGCACGTCCGTGAGTGCACATAACTCATGTGCATCTGTGAGCTCACACTCATGACGACTCAGGGACGTGACCTGGTTCCTTCCAGTTCCCCCACCTCCCAAAACACACAAACACACACACCAGGAACTCGTGTCACCCCCGCCCCTCCTCCCCCATGGACTCCCTCGCGCGCGCGCGTGACAAAATCCAGCCCATAATAGCCGCGTGCAAAGCGGGGAAAAGGGAAAAAAAATGTAGTGGAAAAAAAAATTAAAGAAAATGAAATGAAATTCTGTCCTCCCCCCGCACACCTCTCTCCCCGCGTGCACACTCCATCCCTCCCTCCCTCATTCCCTCCCTCACCCCGCGCGGCCCTGACACACTCACCCCGGACGGCAGGGAGGACTGCGGCGGCAGCGGCAGGAGACCAGAGGAAAAAAAAAAAACGTGCAAATAGAGAACACAGGGTGGGGGAGGGGAGGGCACGCGCTGGCGGGGGAGGGGAAAGGCGGGCAAACCCCGCGGTGAGTGTGTCAGCGCGCGTGTCACCGTCTCCGGTTCCCACCGCGGTCCGCGGCCTCCGAGGGACGACTCGGCGGCGACTGCGGCTGCGGCGGGGGGCGGGGAGGGGGCAGGACCGCGGGGATGAGTGGCAAGATGGCCATGCCCCTAACCACGCCCCACGGTGACGACAGGATTGAGAGACGACCCCTAACCACGCCTCCCAGGAAACCGCGAGCAAGAAACGTCCCTAGCCACGCCCCCTGGGTGACGCGAGAGATGAAAATCGTTCGCTAACCACGACCCCTGGGTGACGACGAGGAGAAACGTCCCTCTAGCCACGCCCCTCACAGCGGCACGGCGCTACGTAACCTAACCACACCCCCTCGATTACCACGCCCCTCGGTGAGACACCGCACGGTTAAAGTTCCCCTAACTACGCCCCGCCCAGTGACGGAGACAGAGAAACGTCCTCTACGTCCCCTCAGAGACAGGGAGTAAAACGTCCCCTAACCACGCCCCCTGGGTGCAGGAAGCGAGAATGAAGCCTTAACCACGCCCCCTCCCTCGGTGTCGCACAGCAGGAAAAACGCCCTCTAACCACGACCCCTAACCACGACCCCAAGGAGACAGAAGTAGAAACGTCCTCTAACCATCGCCCCTCGTAGACGCGTGGCGTGAGAAATGTCCCCCTATCAACGCACCCTCGGTGACGTGCCAGCTATGCACCATCGGTGATGTTCTTCCCGTGACGTCACCCTGCTTCCGGGTGACGCGGGAACGCAGCATCCGGGTATCACCACGGCTGGACCCGGCGGAGGTCTCGGGGCCGTGACGTCAGTACGCAGCTCAGGAATCACCCCGCCAGTGACCTCGGTGATATCGCGGGTCCCAGGGACGGGACGGGTTCAATGGGATCTGGGGCGACTTTCGGTTCCTCTGGGAAGCCCCACGGGACATAGCTGAAACAGCGACGGAAGCACAATAGCGCAAGGTATTCTGGGAATCGTAGTCCTCGGCGGCTCTGCGGTCAAGCGAGGGGAAGGGGACGGGGACTACAGACTATCCCAGAGGCCCGTGCTCGGTGGCCATGTTTGTAGTCCTCTGTGCGTCGCGAGACACGCTGGAATTATAGTTCTCCGACCTCAGGGGTGGGGCAAACGAGGGTCACAGAATGTCCCATGGGCTCCGCGGCTGTACGGGGAAAACGGGATCCGGCTCGATTTTCGGTGGACCTAAGAAGACATGAGGAACGGACGGGAAACAAGCGAGGGCGTGTACTACAATGGATTCTGGGAATCGCAGTCCACTACTGCTCCAGGGCCCCGGCTGGGGTGAGGACAGGGAGACTGGGAAGATTGACGATCCAAGGGCTCTGTGAGCGGCGGCCATGTTTGTAGTCCAATGGGTGGCAGGAGATACGCTGGGAGTGTAGTTCTCCGACCCCGGTGTAGGCGCGGCAGAAACCCGGTGGGGGAAACTGGGCTCACCTGACGACACGGGGACTAGGTCCCTAGAAACCGCTGCCATGTCGCCGTTACCCCTTCCTGCCTCAGTTTCTCTGGCCTCATTAGCATACATTTTCATAATCATCTTGCCCGGGATCGCCTGTACGTTTATACTCGTTTTACAGGTTGACGTTTTAAATGTTTACGTGTGATTATTCATGGAGCCTTAATATATTCATGCAAATATGTTCTTAAATGTATTTTAAGATATGCACTCGTGTCTGTTTTAGAGTTTCAAATATTAATATGTGTCAATATATTCACGTATTAACATTCGCACATTTACATGTTAGGATATTGCCATATTTACATATTACTGTGCCATATATTTGCATATAGCTGTATTCGTATATTTACATATTGACCATTTGCGTATTTGCTTATTAATTTATTCACATTTTTACAAGTTAGTGTTTATATTTTTACATATTTGCACATAACTACACTTGTATATTCACATATTAATATAATTGTATACTTACATAATATTCATACATTTACTTTTCAGTTTTGCATATTTACATATCAACGTGTTTGCGCACTTACATACCGATATTTGTATATTTGAATCAGTATTTAAATATGTACATGTTAATGCATTCCGATCTTTACATATTACTCTGTATGTTTGCATATTGATGTGATGGTGCATTTCCATGTTAATGTCTTCATGCATTTGCATATCGCTATATTCGTTTATTTACATGTTAGTGTTCTGCGTTAACCCGCGTGCACATTGCTGTTTTCCAATGTTCACACCGTCATGCTTACATAATCACGTATGCAAATATATTTAAATAGCTGCTTCAGTGTGCAGCTCACCGTTGGCCACATTGACATAAAAGTAGTGTAGTTGCACATGGACGTTTCTTCCCTGGAATGCGTTCACATGTGAATGTTCACATGTGTGCTTGTCCTCGTCCTCAAGTGTGTGAAATGTCCCCGAGTGAGCATGGTCACCCTTTAATATATTCGTGTATGCAAATGTGTTTAAATGTGTGTCTTCTGTGTGTCTCTGAGCACTGATCTGTAGTGTAACTGCACGGCCATGCATTGACACACGTTAACACACTTGCACATGGATGTTAATGGCGCCTTCAGATGCTCACACACGGACACATTAATTCTTCCATCAGCTCCTTGGGAAATGTGTACGTTACACACTTACACACCCGTGCACTTACACACACATGTGGGACCGACGTATGTACACACACTTATATGGGACACAGAGATGTGTCAAACCTATGTGTACACTCAAATAGACCCATGTGCACACATGTAAGTGCACAGCTCTCCCTCTGTACATCCCTTAGTCCCTCTGCAAACGAGCATGGATCTGCGTCCAGACCCCAACCTGTCACTCGGTCCACACCCATTCACACCCACGCCTGCACACTCAGATCCACAGATCTGCACACTTCTGCACGAGCACAGACACAGGCAGACGCGAACTGGGCTGCAGGGCCCAGCGCCCGCCCGGCCCTGTCCCAGTGTACACCAACTTCCCCGATCCCTCCGCGCCAAGTCCTCCCCCCGGTACGCGTTGCACAATCCTCAAAACACTCTGGTCCCCGCTGGTTCTCCCCCTCCTCCCCTCACACGCTCACCCTCCATCCGGCAGGGAACACAGAAGCGGTCGACTGTGGGCGAGCGCGCACGTGTGCAGGGAGCCGGAGCGTCGGCGGCGCCGGGTAAACTGAGACACGGGTGTGGAGGGTGTGCTGGAGGGGCGGTGATGTCAGCGCGGAAATAAGGGGAGGAGGGGGGACACGACCATTTACACACACACTCACACACACAGCATCGCATGACTTCAGATCTCAAGCCCGGGTCGCCAAACCTCCTGCAGGCTCTGCGGGTAGGGGCGAGGGCACACCTGTGAGCGTGTGTGGCGGTGACGTAAGTGACCCCGCCCCTACCTTCCTCTCCCCTGCGGAAACGCTCCACCCCAAACCGCAGGCGAAAACCGGGACTTCCGGTGTCTGGTTTGGCGGTGCCTGTCAATCAGAGTCGCCTAGTCGAACTCGGACCTGACGACCCCGACCCATCCATCCTGCGAACCTGGCAAAGGTCACTTCCGGTGGGTGGGCGGGACATCCATTATACAGGCAGTAGGGGCTGATAACACAGGCAACGCGTACGATATGGTCGCGCCCCTTCCGCCCTCCGAGCACACCTTAGCGAGCACTTCCGGGTGGGACTGTCCTTCACGGCGTAGCCGAGACGACACGCGCCAAAGGCCCCGCCCCTTTTGCCCTGCCTGCGCTGTCTTCCCGCTGTTTCTTCTCAGTCTCCTGGGAGGTCCTGGTTGTCTGGTCCCAGGGATGGAGGGTGACTTAATACACTGTGGATGCCGTGCGTGCCCACCGCCTGACCCCATGACCCCGCGGGGGCGGAAGGAGGAATCCCCGCCCCCACACTCATGGATACAGACAGACACACAGACACACTCACGCGGGCAGCGATGTAAACAATCCATACCTCCGCTCTTGCGTCATGACCTCTGCCTCGGCTCTGCCCCCTGACTTACACCCTAACTCACTCCCCGAGACCTCAGTGACCCCGTTTTACACCCCAGTGTCACCCAATGACCCCGTGCCACACCCTCCCCACTATGTGAACAATCCATACATTAACACACACATTTAGCTCACACACGCCGGAAGTCCTGGCCCTCTCCTCTCTCCTGAAGTCCGCAACGATCCCCGTGACCTGCGTGTTACCACTTCCACGCCCCTACCTCACACCCCAGCACTATATGTTAACGTGTACGATTATGGCGTGCAAGAAGCCCTAACTCTTCCCACGTGACCCCTCCCTGTGACCCCGTGACCCCTGGGTTAACCCCGTGAACCCCCATGACACCCATGTCACCCCATTCCCCGCCCCTCTCCCGACAGGTAAACAATCCATACATTAATGCTCAAGCCCATACATGCTCATCCCCAGCATGCCCAGCCCCAGGGCCCTGACTCACGCCAGTCCCTGTCACTGACCCCGTGACCCCTGCGACGCCCACGAACCTGAGCGCGGGGACTTATATAACCTGCCCGGCAGCCGCCCTGGAGCTCAGTCGGTGCCCGGGGTCACGGCAGGGTCACGGCTGCTGGTGAGTGTGCAAGGGGGCAAAAGGGGCTTCACAATGGGGAAACTGCTACCATGTGTGCAAGGGGTGACGGGTCACAGTGGGGTCACCGCTGCCTATGAGTGTGCGCCAGGGTAGTTGTGCGTGTCACTTCTGGCCTTGTGTGGACTCAGTCCTTGCACTTCCTGTTCCACAGTGTGAGATACATGTGATGTCCATGTTTTACATACTCGGATGCGTGTTTATGCAGCGTGTCCGTCTATCGCATGTGACGTATGTTTTATATGCATGGATGATTGTGTAAAGCTGTGTCCGTGTGTCTGTGTCGCACACACATCACAAATGTGTCGCAAATCAACATATACATGACATGGGGACAAAACATGTGTTTACTTACATGTGTGTAGTGTGTACACATATACCCGGACCTATACACACACAGGTTCCACGTACTTACATGGGAACACATAAGTGTGTGTAACTGGTACATATCTGTACACACACGTACACACACATGCAGTCTTGCAGACGATAGGAATGTGTGAATTCACACAGATTCACACTGACTTTTTTACACACGCACAGGCTTACTTAGTTACTAGAAGGCTCATCCCGCATGAGGAGTGAATGTGTAACTGAAGATGTGTTCGTTTCAATGTGTAACTACATAAATGTGTGTGATCTCCTATGTGTTCCCAAGTGAACCTGCCTCCCCCCGCAGGAAGAAACGCCATGCTTCCCGCCCTCCTCCCCCTCCTGCTCATGGCTGCCCTGGCCCCTGCTGCTCGCTCGCGCCCCAACATCGTGCTCATCATGGCAGACGACCTCGGCATCGGGGACCCTGGGTGCTACGGAAACACGACACTCAGGTGAGGGTGCAAAGGTGGGCTGAAGGGACTTCCGGCTAGCTTCCTGCTCTGCTTCCAGTTCCACTTCCTCTTTCACTTCCGGTTCCACATCTGGTTGGACTCCTAGTTCCACTTCCGGCTACACCTCCAGTGACACTTCTGGTTAAACTTCCTATTTCGCTTCCTGTTCCATTTCCGGCTACACTTCCAGCTACATCTTCAGTTGCACACTACAGGCTCCACTTCAGGTTCCACTTCTTGTTTCACTTATGAACACACTTCTGGTTTCATTTCTGTTCCACACCCAGGTAAGCCTCCAATTACACTTCTGGTTACACATCCTATTTCACTTCCGGTAACACTTCCAGTTTCATTTAGAGCTACACCTCTGGTTAGACCTCTAGTTGCACACCTTTTTACACTTCAGATTGCACTTCCTCTTTCATTTCTGGTCCCACTTCCAGCTACACTACAGGCCACACCTCTAGTTACACCTCAAGTTGCACTTCTGGTTCCACTTCCTATTTCACTTCCTGTTCCACTTCAAGTTATGCTTCCAGCTATATTTCTGGCTACACTTCCTGTTTTGCTTCCCATCCACTTCCTGCTACACTTCAGTTTCCATTTCCATCTACAACTCTAGTGTCCTACTTCTGGTTACATTTTCTATTTCACTTCCAGTCCAACTTCTGGGTACTCTTTCACCTACACCTCCAGTTACACCTGCAGCTGAACTTCCAGTTACACTTTCTATTTGACTTCCTGTTCTGCTTCCTGTTCCTGTTCCAGTTCACTTCACTTCTGGCTACACATCCGTCACAATTACTATTTCACTTCCCTTTCCACTTTGGGATTCATTTCCTCTTCAACTTCCTGTTCCACTCTCTGTTCTGCTTCCTCTTTCACTTCCAGTTTCACTTCCATTTCACTCTCTGTTCCACTCCCTGCTACAACTCAAGCTACACATCTGATGGTCACACTTGCTATTTCATTTCTGGTCCAACTTCCTCTTCCGTTTCCTCTTCTGCTTCCAATGCAACTTCCCGTTCTGCTTCCTCTTCCACTTCTGGTTCCTTTTCCCTCCCCCCCATAGGACGCCACACATTGACCGTCTCGCCCGGGAAGGTGCGAAGCTCACACAGCACTTGGCTGCTGCGCCCCTGTGCACTCCCAGCCGTGCGGCCTTCCTCACAGGTCGCTACGCTGTGCGCTCTGGTGAGTGACCTGTGACCCTTATGACCCCCGTGACCTTTGCACCCTCACCCACTACCACCCATGACCATTTAACCCTTTGATACCCCACAAACCCTTATACTTTCACCCAGGAGCCTCATAACCCACGTGACCCCTCTATGACCCCATGACCCTGTGACCTCTCAAACTCTATCGCTCCTCCACAGGCATGGCATCACACAACCGTGTGGGCGTGTTCCTATTCTCAGCATCATCGGGCGGGCTGCCCACTGATGAGGTCACCTTTGCACGGCTTCTGAAGGAGCAGGGCTATGCCACGGGGCTCGTGGGTGAGTGTGCAGGGGGTGAAGTGGTAGGGGGAAGCAAGAGGAACACTGCACTGATGACAGGAAGTGGATGGGTGACTGACAGGAAGTAGGTGGCAGAACTCTCGAAGGGGCATGAAGCGTGTGAGTGGCTGACAGGAAGTTGGTGGACAACCAAAAGGGGAACAGAAAGTGGGTAAATTATTGACAGGAAATGATAGAACAACTAACATGAAGTGGGTAAATTGTTGACAGAATGTGGGTGGGCAACTGACAGAAGGACAGAAAGTACATCAATTATTGACAGGAAGTTGTTGGTAAACTGAAAGGAAGTGGCTGATTGACTGACAGGAAGGTGGTGGGATGCTATCCTGAGGTCATGACATTACTGTAATGGCCAAAGGAAGTGGGTGTGACCTTGTGGTGACTGCATAACCTCACACTGATGGATACAGCACAGCAGGTGAAAAAAGTAGGTGAGCGACTGACTGGGGGACAGGAAATGGGTCAGTTATTAACAGGAAGTGTGTGAGTGACCAGGACCATGATGGCCAAAAGGAAGAGTGGTAGTGACCAACATGAGAACAGTAAGTGGGTTAGGTATTTACAGGAAGTATGTGAGTTACAGGACGTGAGTAAATTATTGACAGTAAGTAGGTGGGTGACTGACAGGGGACAGGAAGTGAGCAGGACCATAATAGCCAACAGAAAGTAGTTGAGCCACAGACAGGAAGTGGCTGGCATGCCCAGCCATGTCCACTTGTGATCTCTCCTCTTCTCTCTGCCCTTCTGCCACAACAGGGAAGTGGCACCTGGGGCTGAGCTGCCGCACGGCCTCCGACTTCTGCCACCACCCTCAGCGCCACGGCTTCGACTTCTTCCACGGCATTCCCACCACCAACCTGCGGGACTGCCGCCCAGGCTCCGGCACCGTGTTCATGCCCGCGCTGCGGATGCTCATCTACGGGCCACTGTGGGCGCTGGCGGCCGCGGGTCTCACGCTGGCGGTGCTGCGAATGCTGGGCCTTGTGCACGTGCCCGGGACGGCCTTCCTAGCCCTCGGAATCATGGCCGCCACCCTGGGGGCAGCTCACCTCACCTTCCACCTCTGCTTCCGGCCGGCCAACTGCTTCCTCATGTCGGGCTTCCACATCGCCCAGCAGCCCACCAACTACACTGGGCTTGGACATGGGCTTGCTGATGAGGCCACAGGATTCCTGCGCAGGTCGGGGGAGGGACGAAGGGGCAGGGTGGGGATGGAGGGAGACCAAGCACAGACACTTCCTGTCAGAGAAATGGCTACTTCCTGTTTGTGATATTAATTCCTGTGTGTGACCTCGTTACTTCCTGTTTAGTACATCATTTCTTTCTTCCTGTCTCTGATCCCATTAAATCCTGTCCATTACATTACTTCCTGTCTCTGACCTCATTACTTCCTACCTATTACATCATTACTTCCTGTCACAGACATCATTACTTTCTCTCTCTCTGACATGATTACTTCCTTTCTCTGACATGGTCACTTCCAGTTGGTGACAGTATGACTTCCTGTCTGTGACATTATTACTTTCTCTAACATGACTACTTCCTGTCTGTGACAAGACTACTTCTTGTTTGTGACATGGCTACTTTTCATCTGTGAAATCGTTACTGCCCATCTCTGACACTGCTAATTCCTGTCTGTCACATGATGACTTCCTGTGTCTTACATTAGTCTTTTCTGCCTACAATGTGGCTACTTCCTGTCTGTGACATTATCACTTCCAGTCTCTGACAAGGCTACCCTCTGTGCCATGACTACTTTTCTCTGTGACATCACTACTTCCTCTTTGTGACATCATCACTTCTTGTCTCTGACAGAGCTTCATCCCATCTGTAACTAGGCCACTTCCTTTTATGTAACTCAGCTAAATCCTGCCTGTGATCACCTACTTCCTCTCCAGGCACGCGCACACGCCCTTCCTGCTCTTCCTGTCTCTTGTGCATGTGCACACTGCACACTTCGCGGGACCCGACTTCTGGGGAAAGAGCCGGCACGGAGCTTATGGGGATGCAGCTGAAGAGATGGACTGGATCGTGGGTAATTAGCATTCCATTAGCATATCATCAACAGAAAGGATGGACTGTAGCATGGATAATTAGCATCTCATTAGCATGTTGCAATCATGGGGTGGAAAGTGTGGGGTTTATTAGTATCTCATTAATAGACAATTAGCATATCATCATCATAAGGGAGTTGGAGAGGGTGATAGGCATTAACAAATCATTAGCATCTCATTAGCATATCATTATTGTGGTAAGTGAAACCAGTGTCTCATAAGCATCTAATTAATATATCACTTTTATATAGCTATCATGATGGGGATAGATGGGGCAAGTGATCAGCATCTCATTAGCATGCGATTAGCATGTCACCATCACAGTATCATAGCATACAGGGCCATTGACTCAGGTGAGGCTGATTAGCAGCTCATTATCATATGTCATCAAATTTGAATAAGGTGAGGGGTAAAGATCAAGAGCGATTACCATATCATTAGCAGGTCTACAGGTAATTAGCAAACATATGATTAGCATGCCGGGCATGGCTCATTAGCATCTCCTCAGTATGCCAGTGTTGCGCACACGCCATGGGCAAGGGGCCCTTCCTGTAATGTGTGTTTCCCTGTGAGGACAACATTACCTGACAAACTGGTATGTCCCACTCCTTCCCCCCACCACCCCGCAGGCCGTGTCCTGGACACCCTGGATGAGCTGGGCCTGACCAATGACACACTGGTGTACTTCACATCCGACCAAGGGGCACATGTGGAGGAAGTGAGCGCTGAGGGCGAGATGCACGGTGGCAGCAACGGGATCTACCGGGGTGAGGCAGGCATGGCGGTGGCGTGACGGGAGGGTCACACATGCATGTGTGCATGGTGGCCACTGCGTTGAGCACATGTGTCACACACATGTGCTCCTTTTCAGGTGGGAAGGGCAATAATTGGGAGGGTGGCATCCGAGTGCCAGGCCTGGTGCGCTGGCCGGGCATGATCAAGCCCGGCGTGGAGATCGAGGAGCCCACAAGCAACATGGACGTGTTCCCGACAATCGTGCGGCTGGCGGGTGGCAAGCTGCCCCAAGACAGGTGTGCACGGCATGTATGTGTGATGGAGCTGTGCACGTGTGTGTGTTAACATGTGTGTGTGATATACCCGGATCTGTGTGATATATACATGTCTGAGCTGTGCATGCGGGCATGACGTCCAGCCCGGAATCACCAGCACGTCCCTGCAGGGTGATTGACGGCCGAGACCTCATGCCACTGCTGCTGGGGCACACCCAGCACTCAGAGCACGAGTTCCTGTTCCACTACTGCAATGCGGAGCTGCAGGCTGTGCGTTGGCGGCCCCGCAACGGTGAGTGCACGTCTTGGGGGGTGGGGGTTCACTGAGTAACAAAGCATGAGCCATGCCATACGGTCATCCCTGCTTCCCCCATTTAGGCAGCTCAGTGTGGAAGGCCTTCTTCTTCACACCCCGCTTCAGCCCCCCGGGCGCCAGCGGCTGCTTTGACACACATGTGTGCCCATGCAGAGGCTCTTCCCACCTGGTCCACCACGACCCCCCACTGGTGTTTGATGTGGCTCGGGACCCCCGTGAGCGCAGACCCATGACCCTGCATGACGAGCCCCGCCTCCCCGACATCCTGGCCACTGTTGTGCGTGCTGCACACAAGCATGCTGCCTCTGTGATCCCCGTGCCAGACCAGCTGTCCCTGGGGAACCTGGCTTGGAAACCATGGTTGCAGCTGGTGGGGGCATGGCAGAAGTGAAGCCCTGGGCGGGATGGGTGAGGGGAACCAGGAAGTGAACCAGAAGTCAGATGGGGGCAGGAACTGATGTCACAGGGTCACATTATATCACAGCAGGCACAGAAAATGAAAACCAGGAAGTCAAGAGTAGACAGGAAGTGATGGCATTCGGGTCCAGGGAGTAATCGAGGAGTCACAGGGACATAGGAAGTGACATAACCCAATCATATCATATCACAAGTGCCACAGGAAATGACTTCACAGGATCACATATCACAAGGGCCACAGGGACTTAATTGGTGTTCCTGGGTAAGCAGGAAGTTACGTTACTTGATCACATCACATCACACATGGTACAGGAAGTGACCTAACATGATCATGTCATATCACAAGGGGCACAGGAATTTAACAGGAAGTCACATGGACACGGAAAGTGACTTGATGGGGCCAGGAAACAAACAGTAAGTCACTGTGATAAGCACAGTGATTGAGCAGGTAGTCATGGGGAACAATAAGTGATGTCACGTGATAACATTACCTCACAAATTATATAGGAAGTAAATTTAGTAGGGGTGTAGGAAGTGACGGGACAAAGGGGGCCGGTATGTGGAAATTAGTGACTAAGGCCTTGGAACAGGAAGTGATGTTGCACGGGACAAGGAAGTGCCAAGGATACAGAAAATGATGTCAGGAAGCGACCAGGACTGAGCTTCCGAGGACAGGACAGAGTCCTGACTTCATTTACATATTCAGGAGTACACATGCTAATTGCCCAATAAAGGCCAGCAACATGAGCACATGCCCGTGTCTCTTGTGTACTCTTGATGGCAGCATCTGTGATGCCATTACTTCGGGTCACGTGTGCCTGTCACTGGGCAGGAAGTGAGTGAGTAGTGTCCCTGGGAGAAGCCTGGTTGTCATCACACCCGTCTTAACATTGTCACACACGTCCTCGCACACGCCCTTCCCGGTTCTTGGCACAGTGGGCGTCTTTCTCACCTAGGCTTGGGAAGAGGAGGAAGTGGCAAAAAGTAACACAGTTCCTAAGGAAGAGGGCAAGCAGAGTGGGAGATGGGGCAGAAAGTGAAAGGGAAAGTGGAGGAACAGGAAGTACAGGGAAAAGAAGGAAGAGGAAGACAAGGAGGAAGTTGAGGTAAGAGGAATAGAAACCACTTCCGTGTCTGATTTGGGGTCACATTGAGGCAATGAGGGCACTTCCGGGTCAGTCTGGGGTAAGACTGTGACACTGAGGGATACTTCCAGGTCAGGCCAAGCCTCTGTCATCAGCAAACATGCCCTGTTATCAAGACACACCTGGGGATTGGCCACGCCTCCTGTGAAGGGATCCAAAACAGGGCTACAACCCCCAGGACCAAACCCCGCTATGGACGAGCAGGCCACGTCTCCAGTACAAGGGCACGCCCCCTACGTCGAAGCCACGCCCCCGAGAACAGGCACTCTCCTTCTACAAGGAGGCCACAGCTCCCTGACCAGACCACGCCCCAACGTCGTAACCACGCCCCTTTAATTCAGGGCACAGCCCACTCTGGAAGGCCACCCCCCCCCAACTACAGGTAGCTGTCAGTGACCGCACCACAGGTTCCTGAGGTAAGGGGCGGGAAAAGTGCCGCAGTGCACGCTGGGACCCACGTGACCTTTACGTAGGTACCCCTTCACCTGCAATCCCAGCCCCTCCCATCGAGGTTTTAGCGCCGCAGCCGCCACCAGAACGAGCCTTCCTAAAGCGGTGGTTTCCAGGGACCCGGGACAGGAGACAGGGGAGGCGGGTGAGGGCCGGCCGGGTAGGGATGGGAGGAGGGGCGGGATTTCCGGTGTGGAGGGGTCCGTGTCAGACGTATTCTAGGGACACGGACTCGGGAGGACAGGGCAGCGGGTGAGGGACTTCTGGTCATGAGTGCGTGGGTCACGGCGGTTTCCGGGCACGTCCGGGGACAGACTGTGATGGGACAGCGGGTGACGGCTGGGAGGGTCGTGGGATGGGTAGGAGCGGAACTTCCGGTGGGGACTGGGGATGAGGGCGGGCAGCGCGGAGGTTTCAATGGAGCCCAGTTGCGGAGACTGTGATGGAATGCGGTGTTCGTGATGGACGGGGCCGGTTTACTGGAGGCGCCGTTCTTCCAGTGGAGTACCGCGGGCGCTGCAGCAGTGTTAGGTCCCCTGGGCGGGGACTGATGGGATGGCTTGCAAAGGACTGGCGGGAGGCGGGGCTTCCGTTAGGACAGGGCTGCAATTTGTGGGCGTGGCCCTGCGGGAGATTGACCTGCCACCGCTCCCCTCAGAAGATCCGCCCTGAGGAACTGAAAGTGTCATGGCCTTCGCCATCATGATTCGCCTCCTAGTCGCGTGTCTTCCAGTCGCGTGTCTCCGCGCCCCGCCGCCCCGCCCCAATTTTCTGCTGCTCATGGCTGATGACCTGGGCATTGGTGACATCGGATGCTATGGGAACCGCTCGCTGCGGTGAGCTCTCTGGCCCCCGCCCAACCTCGCCCCCTTCATTGATTCCCGACAGAAGCCACTCCCCCTGGCTGAGACAAGCCAGCCCCAGAGATAGTTCCCGCCCCAACTAAGCCCCGCCCTCGTCAGGGCGTCACCCACGAAGGTGAGGGCCCAGCACAGCCCGTGGTGACAGCCTCTAACCAGCAACTACGCCCCCGGCACTAAATGCCCCATCCCCACAGGATATTAACTTCCAGGCCAAGTCTCCAGTCCCGCCCCTCTGCTCTAAGTCCCGCCTAGGCTGCCCCCACTAAACCCGCCGCCACGGTTTGTCTCTTGGTGTACCTTGGGTTGAACCGCGCCCATGATGCGCCACCGCCCGAACTAAGCCTTGCCCACTTCCCCACCCCCGCACCCAAGCTCAACCCCGCCCCCGACAGCACTTTAACCGTGGTGCCACTTGATAAACTAAGTCCCGCCCCCATGAGAAGCCCAGAACCCCGCAATAAGCTCTGCCCCAGCTCATCAAAACCAATCCCCAACCCCGGACTCCCCGCCCTGCCTTGACAAGCCCCCACCCCTCTCAGAGATCCAAACCAGCTTTCGCTAAGTCCCGTCCCTAGTCAAATGTCCACAATGGCTGCTGTTTTTGTTTATCGTTTATTGCTTTGTTTTGTTTTTTTCGAGGTGTAAGTTCTGTGGTGTTCGACCACCATTTCTGGAGCGTGTGCTTTAGGAGGATAAGAGTGTTGATGATTAATTTTGTTCCCTAAGGCGACAGTCTGTTAAGAGATAGACGTAGGAGCATGTTAGACTATTAAAAAAAATCTTTTTATTGTGAATAGACTTGTTCTATCCCAGAAACTTTAAACAGAACTGCACCTTGGTATGGGAGCTCATGCACTCTACTGAGGCAGGAGGATTGCCATGGTTTGGCAGTCTAGCCCGAGCTACCCAGCAAGGTCCTGTCTTGAAAGAAAAGCAGTACTAACAGCTGTTGATACTTGGAGAAAAGAGCCTGTCAGCCCTGTTTCTTATGTTACAGGTGGGGCTGGGAATCCCCCAAACAGGATGCAGCTCCAGAAAGGGTCCTGGCTGCTCTAAACCGTGGTTTTCCCCACGGGCCCTTAGCTTCTCCCCACAGGTGTCTTGTTTTCGGTTGCCATATGAAACCTACAAGTGAGATTAAGGAGGTCGAGCAAGGCAGTACTCTACATTTCCATTAGGATCCTGTCACCTGTGAATGTTTCATTTTGAGGGAAACCCGCAGCCTGCTCTGGAGATAGATACCTTTGAGAGGCTGGGGCTGAAAGCAGTCCTAGGGGGCAGCAGGTTGTTGCCCTTTGCCAGTGCTACACTTGTGAGGAGAGGGAAATTGAGTAGTAGTGATCCTGTTTTTCATTGCCCTTCCACGGGGCCATTTTTTGAAATGATGAATACAGTTTTACCCTTGAGGAAATAATTTTTGGGGTCCTTATTAAAGGAGTAGGTAATAAAATATTAGTGCCTCAGAATTGTGCCAGGTCAAGCTCCGCCCCTTCATCAGCTCTGCCTATCACTTAGCCCCTCCCTAAGCCCTGTCCCTCACTCTGTACCCACGCCAAGCCAAACCAGCGCCTTCCTCATCCCCACTGCCCACTAAGCTCCGCCCTGTCCCAAGCTCTGTTCCTCCTAAATCCCTGACCCCTCACCAAGCCCCTCCCCCCGCAGGACCCCAAACATCGACCGCCTTGCCAGGGAGGGTGTGATGCTGACACAGCACCTGGCCGCCTCCTCCTTGTGCACGCCCAGCCGTGCTGCCTTCCTCACTGGCCGCTACCCCATTCGCTCAGGTGCGTCACTTCCTGTCCCTGACAGGGTCCCCCTAGCTCCGCCCCCAGCATCACTTTTCCCTCTTGTGTGAGCCCCCAACCGCCCCCTCTGGCATTGGAGATGTCACTCCCCTTGAGCCTCCCACTGGGGTCACCCACCCTGGGCCCTGTCCCTTTCTCGTGGATGATGTCACTTCCTCTCAGGCTAGCTTCATGGTGGACTCCCCAGGTTATGCCCTTTCCTGTCAATGTCAGGAGTCCCTTCCCCTAAGGTATGGGTTGTGGTTTTCAGGTGATATCACTACCTGTCATCACCCTATATCCCTACCATCTAATATGACATCAACTCCTGTCACTATGCTCAGCCTCTCCCATCGAAGATGAGGCCACTTCCAGTCACAATCCTCAGTCATTCCCAATGAACTCTGACCACATCAGTTGCTGGGGCAGTCTCTTCCACCTGCTGACCCTGCTTTTTCTATCCCTAGGCATGACTTCCGCCCGTGGGCACCGGGTCCTGCAGTGGGCGGCAGGTGCAGGCGGCCTACCTCCTGAGGAGATCACGTTCGCGAGGATTCTGCAGGAGCATGGCTATGTCACAGGGCTGCTCGGTGCGTCTAGATGTCATGGCGGGTAGGGTGGACCCCACCTTCATACCAAAAGTATGCATGCTTGGGGGGATTACATCATCAAGGCCCTGCCCCACCCCTTTGATCCTTGTGATACTTCATGCCTGTTGGGCCGAATGATGTCACTGAGGTCCCCCTAACCCCGCCCACATGGGAGTCCGTGAGGCCCCTCCCACCCTCTTCCCCATACCCCACCTACAGGGAAGTGTCTCCTTATCCCCAGTTTCTCCTTATCCTGAATGTGTGCACATTGGGGGTGGACCTGATGTCATTGAGGCTCAATCCTCCAATCCTCCAATCCTCAAACCGGTCTACAAGGAAGTGTCTCCTCATCTCGAAAGTGTACACACTAGGAGTGATGCTGATGTCACAGAGGTGGCATGACATCACTGAGGCTCCGCGCACCTGACCCCCGCCCCCGCCCACAGGAAAGTGGCACCTGGGCCTAAGCTGCTCTTCGGCCACCGACTTCTGCCACCACCCGCACAGGCACGGCTTCAGCCACTTCACGGGGCTGCCGCTGGGCATGATGGGAGACTGCGCACCGCCAGGAGGGGTGTGGCCTCCGCCTCCCCATCTAGAGTCGTGGCCTTCCGAGAAACGAGCAGTGCTGGAGCAGCGCCTGTTCTGGTGGGCACGGCTTTTCGGGGCAGGGGCGGCTGGCATCTTGATAACGGCGGTCATGATGGGCAGCATCATAGGACACCCCTTCCGGCTGCGTGTGGCGGCGGCCATCTTGGCATGTGTCCTGGCAGCGGTGGCCATCTTGGCGTCAGTGGTAGCACGTCATGCAGGCGAGCTGGTGGCAAGGGCGGATTGCTTCCTGATGCGTGGAGCTGAGGTTACCCAGCAGCCCCTGAGGCTCGACCGTGTCACGGATATGCTGCTGCGCGAGGCCGAGGTCTTCCTGTCCCTGTGAGGAGCAGGTGGTGGGGCCCAAGGGTCATGGTCAGGGAATGTGTGGGCCTAGAGGAAAGGGATCTGGAGGGGTGGAGCTAAGGCAAGGGGAGCAGCCAAGGAGGACAAAGGGTGGGGTCAGGAAGTGGACAGGCTATAGGGCAGGGCTTGGGAGGGGAGGGGCTAACAAAAGGGGCTGTTGATTAATTGGTCGGGCTAGCGATTGATGATTGATTAATCGATCAATTGATACTTGATGAATTGGTGATTGATGGATCGCTTGATTATTGACTGATGATTGGTCGATGACAATGCTCATCGACTCACTAACTGAATGATGAATGATCGATAGAATGATGATCATTGCGTCTCAGCAATCAATTGATGACAGATTAATTGATTGCCTGATCAGTCGATCGATTCTGGAGATCAACAGGAGGGTCAAAAATGGATCGATTATTGATTGATTGATTGACATGATCGGTGGACAGGGATCCATTGATGGCTGATTGATGACTAGTCAACAGATCCACTGACGATCGATCGATCGAGTGATGAATGGTGGTTGATTGAGTAACGATCGACGGATCCGGTATTGGTAGGTGCCAGATCGGTAGGTGAATCATTGGACAATTGCTCAGTTGATCTATTGATCGATTGAGCAACATGATCACTCGATGGGTGATTGATTGAGTGACTGACAAATGATGGATGGTGATGGATTGATTGATTGTGGATGAACTGACCAATTGATTGAGAGATTGATGAATCAGTGATTAATCAACTGATGATTGATGAACATGATTGATGGATGGGTGATCAATTAACCAATTGATCCATTCATTATTGATTGATGACTGACGATTGACTCATGGATCGATTGATAATTGAATGATGATTGCTGATTTGGTGATCGATCATCGATCACCAAGATTGATGGAGGGGTGATGTTCGATGGATTAGTTTTCAATAGCTGATGGGTTAATAGATTCTTGATTGATCAATCAATTAATGACTGAGTGATGATTGATGAATTGGTAGTCGATCAAGTCATGATTGACAAGATCGATGGACGGGTTATCTATTGGTTGATGGATTATTGATCAATTCAGCAACTGATTATTGATTGATTATTGACTGACGATGGATCAACAATCAACTTTCGAGTGAATCCATGGCTAATGGGTCAATTGATTGCTATATTAATTTATCGACTGATGATTGATTGATCATCAGTTGATTGATCAAGTGATGATTGATGAATTGGTGATTGATTGATCGGCAGAATCAATTGGCCGGTTATTGATTTTCAATGGATCGGCGATGGATAGGTAGGTTAATGGACAGTGGCTCAGTTGATGTATTGATGATTGATTGATAGACATGATCGATAGACAGGCGAACGATCAAGTGAACGACGAATGATGGACGATGACTAATTGATAATCGTCGAATTGATTGATGCTCGATAGCCAGGTGAGAGATGAATTGGTGAGAGATGATTGACTGATGATCGATCAACTGATTGCTGATTGGCCCTGGATGGATCAGTGATAAATAGATGGTATATTACTATATTGATAATAGGATAATAGGTTAGTGGATCGGAGGATGATCGATTGAGTGATCAATTGACTGTTCAATTGACTGATCAATTGACTGATAACTAAATTGAGTGATCAATTGACTGATAACTAAACGACATAATTTATAGATGGGAGATTGATCAATTGATCGATGGGTTGGCGATTGATAGTTTACAGGTGAATGGATGGATAATGGGTCAGTTAATTGATGAACGACTGATCGGTTATTGATTGATTGATGGTTGATCGATTTATAATTGGTGATTGAGGATTAATTGATCAGTTATCAACAGCTGATTGGTTGATCGATTCATGATTAATCGATTGACTGATGATTGATCGACATGATCGATGGATGGGTAATAGACTGATTGATCAATTGACTGATGATTGATTGACTGATACTTGATGAATTGGCAATGGACAGCTGAGGGGTGAATCGATTGATAACAGGTCAGTTGATCAATTGATTGATTGATTGATGAATTGGTGATTGATCGACTGATGAATGACATGATCTATTGACTGATGCTTGATGGATTGGCAATCGACACTGACCAGTGAATCAACTGACCGACCGATGCTCAACTTCCTGACGGGTCGATGCCCGCAGTAAGCTTGGGCGGGCACTCCCAGGCTTCTGCCCCTTGATTACGTCACAGCCCCTCCTCCTCCCCCAGGCACTCGGACCAGCCCTTCCTGCTCCTCATGTCCTTCCTGCACACACACATCCCACTGGTGACTAAGCCAGATTTCCAGGGGCGGAGCCGGCACGGGGTTTACGGGGACAATGTGGAAGAGCTGGACTGGATGGTCGGTGAGTGATGGCAGGACGCGGGGTGGGCATAATCGCAGTGGTGGGCGAGGCTAACTGATGTCATAGGGTGGGCAGGGCTGCAGTTCCTGTCACTCAGAAGATCACTTTCTGTCCCTACCACTTTCCTCCCTCAGGATGTTACCTTCTGTCCTTTCTGCTGCCACTTCCTGTCCCTTGCTTGGGCTGACATCTCGGGATAGGTGGGGTAGAAGTGACATCACGTGGTCCATCCTCACCCGTTACCCCCTCCCCTGCAGGCCGCCTCCTGTCCATTCTGGACCACTTGGGGCTGACAGAGAACACGCTCGTGTACTTCACATCTGACAATGGTGCCTGGCTGGAGGCGGGACCACTAGGGGGCAGCAATGGGGTCTTCCGGGGTGAGCAGCAGGGGCCCCCAGAGGTCCTCATTCCCACCCTCCCTCCCACCTCAGCTTCCTTCTGGTGCTGCCCAGCTCCCCATTTCCGGGTGACCCACATCTCCCCACCTTCCCAGTACCCCTACATCCCATGCCCCTACTTCCTGCTTCTGGCCTGACTTCCTGTCTCACTGTTTCCCAACTTCCAGTTGCTTCCTCCCACGACTGCTCTCCTCAGTGTGACCCCCAGACACCACCATGCCCCCACTTATGGCTTCTGTCCTGACTTCCTGTCTCGCCCCTCCCCCACTTCTGGTCACAGGCGGCAAGGGCATGGGTGGCTGGGAGGGCGGCTTCCGTGTGCCTGGAGTGTTCCGCTTCCCGGGTGTGCTGCCCGAAGGTCGGGTTGTGGACGAGCCCACAAGCCTGATGGATGTGTTCCCCACCGTGGTTGGCCTGGCAGGCGGTGCCCTGCCAGAGGACAGGTGAGTGGACATAGTGGCATACAGGAAGTGGTGGCAGGGGTCTATGACAGGAGACAGATGAGCAGAAAGTTAGGGCTTCATACAGGAAGTGAGGCCCCTTTGGGGAAGGTGGGGGTGAGACTAGGGCATCTATGATGGCATCAGGAAGGAAGTGATTCTGAGCAAGGACAACTGATGTCATACAGGAAGTGATCATGGGGAATAAGGCAGGACTGTAGTAGAGGACACCATTATATCATACAGGAAATGAGGGAGATGGGGGGACAGTTCAGGTGGGCAGGCCCTCAGGGCTGCCATCTTGGGAACATGGTGAGGGGGAGGGTTCAAACACCTGAACCACATCCATCCCATCCCCTAACTGCACAGAGAGATCGACGGGCGGGACCTGCTGCCCCTGCTGAGGGGGGAGACCCCGCACTCGGGCCACCACATCCTACTGCACTTCTGCGAGATCTTCCTTCATGCTGCCCGATTTGTGCAGCGTGATGGTGAGGCCACACCCCCGGGGGAGTAGGGAGGGGATACTTCTGGGTCTGGGTAGTGCATGTCTGGGCTTGGAAAGTACTTCCAGGAATGGGTTACTTCAAGGTCTTGATTGGATACTTCCTTGTGTAGGTTACTTCCGGATCTGTATAGGAAACTTCCTTTTATGGGTTACTTCCAGGTCTGGGTAGGAAACTTCTTTGTATGTGTTACTTCCGGGTTTGGATAGCGCACTTCCTTGAAAGGGTTACTTCCAGATACAGAGAGGGCACTCTCTTGTTTGGGTGACTTCTGGGTCTGGATAGGGCACTTTTATGGAATAGTCCTGGGTCTGGGTACATGCTACTTTTATGTTACTTCCGAGTCTGGGTAGGACACTTCCTTGTACGTGTTACTTCCGGGATTGGAAAGACTACTTCCAGATGTACTTAAGTTCCGATCTGACCCTGGTCTCTGCCCCCCCACAGCTGGCAAGACTTGGAAGTTTCACTTCATGACACCAAACCCTGACCCCTCGACCCCAGGCCAGGCATGCCCCTCGCGGGGGGTGTGCCCCTGTGTGGGAGACATCAAGGAGCATGACCCACCCCTGCTGTTCGAGCTAGGTGCTGACCCCGGGGAGACGCAGCCGCTGTTGCCAGGAGCAGAGCCGGCCCTCTTTGAGGCTCTGCATGCCGTGCAGCGGGAGCACGAGCGTGTGATAGAGGGCTTGGGGCCCAGTGGGACGGTCCGCCAGCAGCTGGGCACTTTGTACAACGTGTGGCGGCCGTGGCTGCAGCCCTGCTGTGGGACGTGGTGCGCGTGCGATCTGGAGTGACTGCTGGGATACTGGGTGGGCACCTCCAGAGAGTGGGCTGCCATTTCAGGACTTGGGGTCTGTCACTTCCTGGTGATGGGGGCTTTTCTGGGGACAGGATAGGCCACTTCCAGTTAGAGGTGCAACTTGTGGGTGTGGAAAGGCCACTTCCAGCTTACCAGTTGGAATTCTGGGTGATGGGGACGTTTCCCAGGTTGGGAGAGGCCACTGCTGACCAGGTTAGGGGTGGGGACTTCCCATTATGGTATGCCCCGCTACCTGTCTCCGGGAAACAAGATAGAATTTTTCATTGAAAGTAAAAGAACAGAAAAATTCCGACGGTTATTTTTTTTTGCAAAAAAACGATATTTTTTATGAAAATTTTAAACATTTTTATTTTTGGTGAAAATTTTTTAAAGAATTTTTAAAAATTTTTTTTTGAATGTTAAAAGAAAGGTTTCTTTTATTTCGAGGAAGAAAAAAAAATAAAAACGGTTTTGAGATAACAAACTCTGGACTCATGAGTTGTGATGAAAACACCATGACCCATGAGTCATGGGATTGGTGGGACAGGGTGGGTTTCCCACAACTTGGCCACACCTCCAAAATTGTTCCTGAAAAGAAACCTGCAGAGCATCCTGGGAGGAGCCGGGACAAACATTTATTTCCAGGTGAACAGGAAGTGGATGACAGCAGGTGGACACTCCAGGGATGTCACAATCCAGCCTCCGTGTCTGGTAGTGTTGAGGAATACCATGAGGGGGAAACAGAAAGCAGAAGTACTGCCCCTCCTCAAGCAAATACCACTGATGGGAGACCCAGAAGACCTGCCCCCTCCCAGATGTGTAGGATGGGCAGGGGGCAGGTTGGCAGGCCTGGGTGGGGCTTACCTCTCCCACGTGAGCGCAGGCACCCACCCCGGCCAGACCGGAAGTAGCTAACACCAGCACCAAGCAGGGCAAGCACAACCACGGAAACGACGGGTGACACGATGGCGGCCACCGGGTTTCCTGCAGGGTCCACGAGGAGGAAGACGGAGGCTATGCCTCAGTTTACCTCTCCATACATCTCCCCCAGGGTATAAGATGGCCAGAATGCCTCTGTTTACCCCTTGGGACATCTCCCCAGAGACAAGATGGTCAATGTGCCTCTGTCTTTGCCACGTCCATGTGGGTGTGATGTCTTGGGGGTCAAGGGGTCACACACTCACCCTGGGAATCACCATGGGCAGCTCCTCCTATTCCTCCTCCTCCACCATGGCCTCCACTTCCTGTCAGGAGACAGAGGGCAGGGGTCAGCAGGGAAGCCACGAACAAAACACCTGGGCAAACATGGGGCCAGGTGCCATTGCATGGAAACTACAACATCCCACCATCCACTAGGGAGAGCAAAGGCTACTTACTGTCATGGCCCAGGGCTTTGCTGATTTACACATAAGTAAGTGTGAATTTAAATGTAATTTGCATTTATCTAGGATTTGGATATCTCATTTAAAATTTTTAAATATTGAAAGATTTCATTTAAAAATATTTATCACTTTTAGACTTTGGACAAATTGAAACTTTAAATATAATTTGCATTCGCCTAAATTCTAAACATAAAATTTCAAAACTATTTAAACACCTGAATATTTAAACATAGTTTTTCAGAGCATTAGAAAAAAAAAAATTGAAATTTGCATATATGTAAATCAAGTTTAAATATAGTTTGTGGTGATCCTGGAAAAGAATTAGATAAAATTTGCATATCTCTGAATTTGACCTGTGTAGATTTGAATACATTGTCCATGCGATTTGCATAAACGTGCCCGATTAGCATGAATCTAAATAAATTAGACCAACCAGAAAGTTCTCACCACCTTCATCCCAGGGATCAGAAATCAAACAGAACATATTTGCATAAATTTACATTAATGGCATTGAGGGAAGAAGTCCTCACCTCCGAAGGTGCCATCTGCATCCCCGGGATGTGGGCGTGGCTGTGGGCGTGGCTGTGGACGTGGACGTGGCCGGGGTTGCGGGTAGATATCTGTGAGGCAGAACCAGAAGTGGCTGAGATCCCAGCAAGTGGCCCAGGGAGGTGAATGGCAACCCCACTTCCGTTTCCCAGACAGCCCCGCCCACCAAACGCTGTTCCCACCACTTCCGGTTCTGTTAGACTCACTTCCTCCATCTCCCAGTAGCGGGTCCTGCGGAAGCTTTGGGTAGAGGCCTGCATGGGGTGGAGAGGGACATCACCGGAAATCAGAACAGGAAGTTCGGAACCCGTAAGCACTTGAAACAATGGCACGGGCGTGGAGGGAGAGAGGGAGGACAAGATGGCACCCAAGATGGGTTCTTCACAAGGACGTCACTCACCGCCACCTGAAGTTGCTGACGTAGGATCTGCATGGAGGATAGGGAGAAAAATAAGTCCCATGATGGCCCACGTCCCCCCAACCCTACCCACCCAGGCAGCGGAGACTCACCAGGGTCCTCCAGGGCGTCGGCGAGGTCGAAGTCTCCGTCTCCTGCGGGAAAGAGGAGGAGGGACGGGTCCCTTGAAACTGGGGTTGTAGGTCGCGCCCGATGTCACCGGTCACGCCTTCGTGGTAAACCGAGGCAGAGAGTGCGACCATCCACGCCCACACGCCCCGAAGAACCGGAAGCCTCAGGGAGGCAGCTACTTCCGGGTTTTTTTCCCTTTTCGAGGCTACTTCGGGTTCAATCCGCGGCCGCCATTAGCTCGCGGACGTCCGTCTAAAGCCGTAAACTTAAGTCCCCCAAAAGTCGGAAGTTGCGCCGGACACCATTTTTTAAAATTTTTTTATGTTTTGGGAGTGGGTCATGGAAGGAGAGCGGAACCCCAGTCAAGTGACTTCGGCCCCTTCCCAGCGTCCCCTGCGGCCACGTCCCTCCCCGCCCCGCCGCCCACCATATCCCTTTACTCCGCTTGGGGCCTCTGCTTCCCTCCTGTCTTCCTAGACTGTGTCCACGCCCACCCACGCGCATGTCGCCGCTATAGTCACACACTGTCATAGATGCCACATCCCAGGAGTCTTGGACAAACAGGGTCAGCTGGAAACTGAGGCCGCGGGCGGTGCTGGGAACCGCCGAGCCCAGCGCTGGGAGCCGCCGTAGCTGCCAGGGTAGTTTCTAAACCCCTAGGGAAAAGCCTCTGACAGGCTTTTAAAAATGTATCTTTTTAAAGAAAAAAATTCAGAAATTAAAATTTTTCATTTCTTCCTGTGAATTTCAAGTGGCTCATTTGCTTATTTGCATACTAATTAAAATTATTTCAAACCTAGCGTCTGTTTCTCCAGTGGTTTTGGAAAAATTAAGGTTTTCATTTCCGGGGCTTCCTCCTCATCCGTGTCCGAATTTTTTTTAATTTTTTTCAAATTTCAAAAGTTTCATTGTAATATTTTAAAAATGTTTGGGTTTTTTTTGGTTTACATATTAGAAACTTTCCAAGGTCGAATCGGAAACATCACCTCCCACTCCCTTATTCCCGGAAGTCCCCCCAATGACGTCATCTGTGTCCCCCAACCCCTCCCACTTCCTGATTAGGAATCGGTGGGAGCCAGCCGACACTGACCTTGAACCCGCATAGTCATCATCGTTGTCATCATCAGCGTCAGCAGGAAATGTCCAGGACGCCTCGGGGTCGCCATGGTCTTCCTGCAGGGGCTGTGGGAGTTTGGGGACCCCTGGAGACCACCTCGCCCACAGCTGCAGTTTCGGCCCAGGCCTCCCGTGGGAAGAACTGAGTACCCGTGGGCGGGGTGGGAGAGGCCTCAGTGGGACCAACCGGTCTGGCGGGTGACATCACAGGCATCACCCCACAGGACGAGAATATTCTGGGATGGTGTTCATCGCCAGGGCGGGGCACGGAGGCTGTTTGGGTATGGAGAAAGACCATCCCTACCAAGTGAGGAGAGGGGGAGTGGTCAGAGAAGGAAGGCAGCCATCAATGGCGGTGTGAGGCCTCAGATGACGTCATTACAACTTCAGGAACATGAGATGGGAGAGAACAGAGGGTGGGTGGGGATACCGGAAGCCCTAGCCCCACCATGGCCCTTCCTGGTTGTTAGGTATTCGATTGACAAGTCATGAGTTCGAGTTCCAGTTTATGGAAGTCACGTTTATTTCACTTCTGTGTTCCCAGTCCCACCCACACTCCCACCCCCCCCATATCCCATAAGGCACCAGGACTCCTCTTTTTCTCTCCTCAGAACAGAGGGCGGAGTCGGGCTTTGGCACTGTGTAGATGTCACTGCAACGGCTGGGAGGCCCCTCACACCCCCTCCTGACCACGCAGGAGGGAAGCTGGGTGGCGGCTTCATGACATCATCGCAGATGGTCGCTGTGACGTCATTGGAAAAGTTCCCGGTGACGCCACACGGCTGGGTGGAGCCGGGGCCCCTGGGGTTCTCTAGGGGTTCCTTCCCTAGACCACAGCGGAGTCTGCAGGGGGTGGGAGCGGAAGAGGAAGTGAGGAGGATGGGCCACGATGGGGAACAGGAAGCCCCTCCACAGTGCTGACGGGCAGGAAAGACACAGGAAACCCCGACCACCAGCACTGACACAGAAAGCCACTCTCCCAGCTCGACCCGCCCCCTTACCACGCTCCCGGAAGCATAGCTTCCGCCGCTGATAGGCCACGAAGCTCGATACAGCGCCTGCAACTGCCGCCAAGATGGCTGCCACGACCCCAGGGATCACGGCCTCCTGGGCAGGGCCTGTGATGAGGGCAAGGGCAAGTTGGTGTAAAGTCAGCAGGTCACCTGACACTGCTCCACCCCACCCTCCACACGTTTCCAGATTTCTGGATTGCGGCCATTACCTCCTCCTGCTTCCGGGTCATCGCGTCTGGCCCCGCCCCCTCCAGCTCCTGGAAGCCAAAGGCAGGGGTGACGTCATGGGACAGACAGGGCAGTGGGCGGGGCCTGGGTGAGGATGCTGGGTAATCTCCCTCCCACAGGAAGCCCTGAGGAGGTGAGGGAGTAGGGGGAAGATGACACAGAGGGGGTGGGGTCACATTGTGATGACAACACGGACAGGGCATGTCCAACCTCGACCTCCTGTCCCCACCACGTCTTCCAGGTCTGTGTCAGAAATTCCACCTTGAGGGGGGTAGAGGGGCGAAGATGATGACGTCAGGAACGCTGCCGCGCCCCTGTGACATCATCAACCCATCCACCCCCTAATCATGCGCACTATGCAAAGTCACGCCTCCTGTGAAGGCGCTAAGCTCCAATGGGATTACAGTGCAAGCCACGCCTCCATGTTATGTCACCAATCCTTGCTTGGAGGTGGAAGCATGTGTGACTCAGGACTGACCAGGGTCACAACAGAGCTCATTAGTATAAACAGCTCGGACACTCAGCTACTTGGTCAGATTTGAATAAATTTGCATAGATTATTCTGAGACTCAGCCTGTACATGAGGCCAAATTAACATGCAGCCAGATAAATCTGCATAAATTCTATTGAATCCCCACCAACAGTTACTGTGTAATTTATGCAAATCTACATATGCCCCGTCCCCACTCATGTATATTAACATATGTGATGACATCTGAAATCCGAGAATAAACTCAGTTTAATTTGAACTGATTTGCATAAAACCTGTGCTCATTTACATAAACCATTACGTTAATACTTCCACTGGGAAGGCCTTCTGGGTGTGACTTAGCATAAACCTCCTTTATTAGCATATCACCCAGTGTTATGATAGCAAGATTCTGCCTGTCGGGAGATATGCTAATTCTACACTAATTAGGTCGATCAATATGAAAATCATGGAATATTAGCATAAATTGGAAATGCTAATTTCACACCTAATTTACATAATAGCTTGCCTGATGAATTAGCATAGATGGTGAGACTAATTAGCATATCACTGAGCCAGCCTGCATCGAAGCACCAAACAGTAGCGTAAATTACCACACATTAGCATAACCCCACCAGACACACCGTGCGCCCTTCCCCCACCCCAAACCCAATCGAGGAAGTGAACATTTCCAGGTTCCAACCAGTTCCGGGATGAGGGTGGGTGGGGTCTCACCATCTCCTCCCAGTGAATCCTTCAGGTCTAGGTCACCTGGGGAAGTGGATAAGAAGGGGATGGGGTGAGAGTCAAACCGGAAGTGGGTGTCCCGGAACCGGAAGTATCTGCCTGGGTTTTCCCCCTCACCTGCTGGTTTTTTGGGTGCCGCTTTGGTTGTCCCTGGGGTCGGTTTCTTCGGCCCTGGGAACCAAGATGGCAGATTTCGGAAATTTAGAAAGAAAAGAAAAAGGAATCAACCGGAAAAAAAAAGATTTTCTGAAAATTTTTAAAATAAATGAATAAAATAAATAAACTAAAAAATATTTAAAAAAATTTTTCATTCTTGAGCAGGAAATTTTTATATTTTTTTCCCACAAATCAAAAAAAAATTTTTCACCCTGAATTTTTTTCTTTTTCCTTTAATGTTTTTGATTTTTTATTAACTCTGAAAGTTTTCCTCGTGATCCCCAAACCGGAAGTAACTTCGTTAAAGATTTTTTTTTTCTGTTTTTTTTTTCTTTACTTGGAAAAACCCAGAACGAAATAAAAAGTTTCTGCATTAAATTTGAAAAAAAAATCCGTAAAATTGGAAATTTGGGATCTCAAAAGTAAATCAATAACAAAATAAAATAATAATAAAATAAAACAATTCATAAAAAATAAAATAAATTACTAATAAAACAACAATAGACAATTTATAAATAACAATAAATAAGTAACAATAAATGGTAAGTAACAAATAAATACTGAATAATTAATTAATTAATAATGAAATAAATGAACCCCCCCATTGTGGGCATCCCCTGCGTCCTCACCGTCTAGCGCATGTGACAGGTCGAAGTCGCCGCCTGGAGAAAGGAAAAGGGGAAAACAAGATGGCGGCGCTCCATCAGGGATGACTAAGCCCCCAGCACTCACAGTGACAAGTCTAGAATACCCGCTGCTCAGACACATGGACTGAGCCCTCATCACCCACACAAGGGAACTAAGCCCCCAGCACCTACGGAGGCAAATATGGACCCTCTGCACCCAAGGAGGAGTACTAAGTCCCCAACACCCAGGGAGGGGAATGCCAAGTCCCTAGCACCCATATGGTGGGACTAATCCCTCAGCACCTACAGTGGGGCAGACTGAGCCCCCAGCACCCACATATATGGAGACTTAGTCCCCAGATTCTGTAGAGGAGGACTGAACCCTAAGCACTGACAGAGAGACTGAGTCCCCAGAACTACCAAAGATGAATATGGAACCCCAGCACCATGGCAAGGAGTACTGAGTCCCCAGCACCCACGGATACTAATACAGGATGCCCAGTGCTCAGCAAGGAGAAGTACCCAGCCTGGCATACTGAGCCTCCAGCACCCAGGGAGGGGAATACTGAGCCACCAGCACCAACCCTGAGGACTGAGTACCCAGCACCCACAAAGACAAATACAGACACCCAGCACCCAAGGCAGGAGTGACTTAGCCCCAGCACCTACACTGGAGAACTAAGCTTCCAGCACCCAGTGAGGACTGAGCCCCTATAACACACACCAAGGAGAACTAAGCTCCCAGCACCCACATATAGGGAGACTGAGTTCCCAGAATCAGGAGAGGAAGACTGAGTCCTCTATACCCACAAACACAACTCCAGAATACCCAGTACTCAGAGATGTGGACTGAGCCCCCCAGCACTGACAGAGTCCCAGCTGAATCCCAGCACCCAGAGATGGGAATACAAACCCTCAACCCCCACAGTGGAGAGTACTTCATCCCATCACCCATGTTAACTAATACAGATCACCCAGTGCTCAGACAGGACTGAGCTGCCAGCACCCATACATAGGGAGACTGAGTCCCCAGCACCTGGAGAGAAGGAATAAGCCCCCAGCACCAACAGGGAGGAGTACTTAGCCTCCAGAACCCTAGGAGAAACACTGAGTCCCAAGCACCCACAAAGAGAAATACAGATCCCAGCACCCATGGCATAAGGATGTAGTCCCAGCACCCAGACAGGGTAACTGAGCCTTTAGCACCCACACTGGGGAAGTCTGAGACCTCAGCACCCAAGGAGGGGAATACGGAACACCTAGCACTCTCTCATAGGGAGCATGAGTCCCTGGAACCTAGACAGGAGGACTGAGACCCACGTTAATAAAGAATCCCCAGTGCTCAGTTAATAAAGACTACCAGTCGGGAGGACTGAATCTCCAGCACCCACAAAGACAAGTCTAGAATACCCAGTACTCAGAGACAGATAGGGAGACTGAGTCCAAGCACCCAGCGGTGGAATACAGGCCCCTCAGCGCCCACACTGGAGAGTATTTCGCCTCAGCACCCACATTAATTAATACAGAACTCAGATAGGAGGACTGAGCTGCCAGCACCCACACATAGGGAGACTGAGTCCCAAGCATCTGGATGAATAAGCCCCCAGCACCAACAGCGAAGAGGACTGAGCTCCCAGCACCCACAAAGAGAATTAGAACCCAGGGATGCTAATATAGAATACCAAGTGCTCAGAAAGGACTGAGCTCCCAGCACCCACACATAGGGAGACTGAGCTCCCAGCACCCAGAGAGTAAGACTGAGATCCCAGAACCCTCTCCGCCCCCACCCTGTTACCCCAACTCCCCACAGCCGGGCGCGGCCCACACAGACCCGACCGAGTGACTCACGATCAGCTCCCCAGGGTCACGTGGGGGGGGGTGAGAGGACAGGCGGGGTCGAGGTCTCGCTCAGCTCTTTCCCGAGGTCTGAGTGAAATCAGTTTCCAGGGCCCCCAACCACCCCCAGCTCGTGGTCGGAGGACAGGACGTGGGGGGAGGGGAGGCTTGAAACAGCCCAGTAGGGCAAAAGGTCCCCCTCATACCCCTCCCCTCCCCCAACCCCATCCTGAGCCAAGCCCCTGCCGCAGCTCCTCTCCAAGGAACCGGCCGTCCGTCAGGATGCCCCCCGTGGCGTGAGCGGGAAAGGAGGGAAACAAGGGGGGGACCCTGAAACTGCCGCTGTCTCTGGCTGCCAATCTCTCCCACTCGTCCTGGATCCTCTAGGGGGGAAAGGAGGGGCCGGAGAGGGGAGATCCCAAAATATCCGTTTCCAGGACGCCCAGGCGGACTGTTTACAAGCGGAAGGACGGGGTGGGGCAAGGGGAGGTGGGGCTCAAAACCGCTAAAGCAGCGGAGGCGGTGCCGTGATTTCTTTTTTTTTTTTTTTTTCGTAAAAAAGAAAAATCAGTTTCCAGGATGGCCGGGCGGGGGCTGCGCGGGTTGGGGAGCCTTGAAACTGCCCCCAGCGACCCCAGACCAGTCCCTGAAGATCTCAGGGTCTCCCGCACACTCCACACCACACCCCGAGGACTAGGAAGAAGAATGCCCAGGAGCGGGACGTCAGCTGTGAGGAATTCCCCCTCCGCCACTCCCTCTCGCCGAACCCCGCCCCCGCAGGAGGCCACGCCCCTCGCTTTGGGGAATCCCCCCCAGGCCCCGCCCCTCCCTCATACACGCCCGAGAGACAGAAAAACAAATGAAAAAATAAAATGAAAGAATCTCACCCGATACCCGACCCCGATCCCGAGACCCCTGACCCCGTGCCCCCCACCCCCGAGACCCCCCGGCCTCACACACGTGTCTCCCGGCCTCACCCTACCCATGCCCGAGATGGAAAAAACGAATTAAAAGAAAATAATAATGACAATAATTATCTCACCCGGCTCCCTGCTCCCACCCCATGTGACCCCCCTGATCCCGGCCTCACCCTGGCCCGCCGCGGGGTCTCCCAGCAGCAGCAGCAGGAGCAGCGGGAGCAGTGGGGCTGCACACGCCATGGCCGAGTCGCTAGATGGAGGGAGGGAAGGGTGTGGTCGGGAGGAAAGTAGGGGGGCCTGAGACCACGCCCACTGAAGGAGGGGGGAGCTGAGGCCACGCCCAGCTCCGAGAACCCGCCAAAAATATCATTAACAGTAAAAGTAAATATAGCAGGATGGAAGGGGACAGGACCTGCAGTAAGGAAGGGGCATAGAGGCCACGCCCACCCCGGGAACACGCCCACTGCGAGGGAGTGGCTAGGGGAACCCGAAGACAGGCCCATTCCGCGGGAAACCAACCAAAAATATCACTGAGAATGAAAATAAATATAGCGGGAGAGGAGGAGACGCGACCTGGAGTAACTGAGGTGACACGGAGGCCACGCCCACCCCGGAGAGGACACACCCACATGAGGAGGGAGGGCTTAGGGAGGAGCAGAGGCCACGCCCACCCCGGGGAACCCTCCAAAAATATCATTAATAAAGATAGTAAATATTGCGGGATAGAAGGGCCTGGGGCCTGGAGTAAGGCGGCACACACTGGCCACGCCGACCCTGGAGGCCGTGCCCACCCAGGGAGAGGGGCTGGTGGGGAGCAAAGGCGGGATGGCCAAAAATCTCAGCGTTAATAAGGAACGTAAAAATAACGGGAGAGAGAGGAGGAGGCGGGGCCAGGGAGGAGCGGAACACGGAGGCCACCCCCACCAGCGGAGAGACCACACCCACAACGGGAAAGGACACACCCATTGCAGAGAACTGGCAAAAATATCATCCTTAATAATGAGAGTAAATATATCGAGAGAGGAGGGGTCGAGGCCACGATCACTCGCATGAATCAGCCCCAAAAATAAAGAAAGAAAAAACTTCTCTGCTGTTAATATAGAAAAAAAAGGGAAAAAAGTGGGTGGGACTAGTGGGGGGCGTAACAAACGGATGGGCACGGCGCTCGGGAAATGAGAGATGCCCCGCCTCCTCTCGGGAGGACACGCCCACCCGCGCTGAAGCGGTGAGATGGTAACACTGACCCAGGCTGATAGGAGACCGTCCAGGGGAGGAGTCACCTGCCGAAGCCACGCCCACCCCATAAAGTCGAGCAGTAACCGGAGACCGCAATGACCGGTGCCCACCGACGAGGAGCCACGCCCACCGAAGGGCAAAGAACCCTGAAATGCGGTGTGGTGATCAGGACCTGGAGGGCGGGGATTCGAGCACCAACCCCGCGACAATGGACATTAAGCCGTGACTCTGAGGAGATGAGGGGAAGAGAGCGGCACCGCCCTCTCTGATGTCACAGGCCCTCAGCTCCGCCCCTAGTACGTTATACGCTTCAGCACCGCCCACGCCAGGAGCTGACCTGCACCGGAAGCCCTGCCCTCGGCAACCTGAAAGACATCGGAAGCTCCACCCTCCTAGAGCCCTGACTGACACCGGAAGACCCGCAAACAGTGCCCTGATTGACACGGGAAGCCACGCCCCCGCGACCTAGCCGCAGTCGGCGCTCGTCCGCTTAGTGTCGCCAACGCGTCGGGCCGGATCCGGCTCAGGCTCCGGGGGCGTGCGGTGGGTGGGAGGGTCCCGCGCGGGAGGGGGCGGGGTCCCGGAGGGGAGGGGGCGGGGAGGGCTCCCGTAATGCCCCGCGCGGCCCTTGGCGGCCATGCAGTCGCTCGTCTCGCCCGTGACGAAGGCCGTGCTGGTGGCGCTCTTCATCTTCGCCATCCTCCTCATCCTCTACGTCATCCTGTGGTACATCTGCCGCGACGTGGACTGCGACCACGGCCTGTGACGTCATGCCTCCAAGGACACGCCCACCCAGGGATGCCCGACCCCACTGTGAGGGATGTGGACCGCAGAGAGGACTCTGGCGGCGGAGGACGCCCGGGTCACCTTGCGGTGAGGACAGACGCTGTTTGGGGGTGGGGGAGGTGCGGACGCAGCTGACTTCCGGTTTATCACAGTCGCTGGAGTCGGGCACTTTTGTTAACGGGAGTTCACGATACCGGGGTACTTCCGTTTCAAGAGGGGGAGTCAAGGGAACCGGACATTTCCGGTTTACACGGGTACTTCCGGTTTATGGGTGTCAAGGGAACCGGATAATTCCGTGTTTCCTGGGTCCCGATAACCGGTGGAATTATGGGAAGAGGCCGAGTGGGGGTTGAGACCGTGAAAAGTGATCGGGGCCGAGCTAAGGGGGTTCGGGGTGTCAGGCAGTTTAAAAATTAATTTATTTAATTCATTATTAATTCATTAGTAAAATTATTAATGTATTATTTAGTTATCATTTATTAAGTTTATTTTAGTAAATTAATGATTTAATAGATTATTACTTTACTTTTTATATTTAATTTGTTAACACTTATTAATAGCTCATTTTAGTTGATTAATAAATCAAGTTAGTAACCTAACTTATATTAAAGTTTTATTTATAAATTTATTTTAGTTAATATTTTAAATTTATGACTAATTTGGTATTTATTTACTTAATTCATTATCTGTTAATAAAAATTATTACATTTAAAGTTTTCTTTTTAATGTTTTTATTTTTTGAGACAGGGTTTACTCTGTTTATCCTTGGCTGTACTTGACTTAGTAGATCAGGCTGGCCTCGAACTCAGAGATCTGCTTGCCTCTGTCTCCCAGAGTGGTAGGGTTACAGCCGTGCGCCACCGTGTCCCGCACATTTTAATCATTTTAATTTGAATATTTGTCTTTCCCTTTTTTGCTTCCGGTCCAGGCTCTGGGGCTTCCCGTCTGGTGGGCGGGGGGCGGAGCCCAAGGCTGGTGTCCCCGCCCCCCACGCTGCCTGAAGTTGTGGAGTGATGAGATTGTGGTCGGCCTGAGGATGGAGTGTTCATCATCGCCTCACAAGCCATGAGCTCCTCCCCTGGGGGTGGGCGGGGCTCTCCGGGGGTAAAGTCACCGCTGCCCCACCCCCACCACCATGCCTCACCTAGGGACGTCGCAACCCATGACGCTGACGCCAATGATGACTTCACAGTCGCGCCCGGTAACGCCCCATCCCTTGCCCTGAGAACCGGAAGTGTGCCGGGCGGAAGCCAGCCCCGCCCCCCGTGGCCTGTCCGTGAGTCCGTCAGTCTGTCCAGTGTCTCTGTCTCAGCCGCCGCCATTTTGTAACGTGTCCGTTCTGTGCCAATGTCCCTGTGACGTCACCACCTGTGATGTCAGAACCTGTTGGGTGGGTGGCTTGGCCCCGCCCACTTCCCTTCACCCCTTCTCCCCATTCCACACAGAAATAAAAATATTTTTGACATCCGCTTCCAGATCATGCCTGTGGGGTCTGGGTCATGGCTGAGGGGTCAGGGCTGTATGGTTGGGATGAAGGGTCTCGGATATGGGGTCTGGAGTTAGGACTGGGAGGTCGAGGGTCACGCCTGTAGGGTCACTGCAATGAGGTCAGGGGTCACAGCTGTGGGGGCAGGATTAGGGCTGTGTGGTTGGGGTCATGGTTATGTGGTCAGGTACATGGCTGGGGCCAGGGCTGTTGGGTCAAGGGTTAAGGCCTGAATTCGAAGTTCACGCTCTGGGGTCAGGTGTCACAACTGGGTGGTCAAGGTTCACGTCTAAGGGACTCATATATCAAGGCTGTGGGGCCATGGGTCACGGCTGTGGGGGTCATTTCAGTAAGATCGGGGGTCACAGCTGTGATGTCGGGGTCACAGTTCTCGACATTAGATGTTATGGATGAGAGGTCAGAGGTCACGGCTGTGGAGTTGGAGGTTACAACTGTGGGGTCGGGGTCAGGGTCACCTGCTGGATCAGGATTCAGGACTGTGGGCGGGGCCTGGTATGACATTGACGGCAGCGGTGGGCGGGGAAAGGGGAGACTGACAACCACGCGTCATTGGGGGCCCGTGGCCGGGTCCGACCGGGACCCGCAGTAATGACGTCATGGTCATGGTGGGAGGGCCCGACAGTCAGAGCCGGGATTGGTGAGGTCGAGCGGAATGACAGTCATAACGGAGGTGGGCGGGGCCAGGCGGAATAACAGTAATGGCCGCGGAGGGCCAGGCGGAGGAAAAATGGCGCTGCGCGCAGTGCGGGCCGCGGTCCGAGTCTATGCGGTGGGCGTGGCCGTGGTGGTGACACAGCTGCTGCGGCGGCTCCTCGGCGGATTCCGGCAGCCCGGTGAGTTACGTGGGGTGGTGGTAGGGCGGCGGCGACATCCGGGATCCCCGGGGATCCCAGCAAACGAAGGCCGGTCAGCGTCAGCCCTGCCAACACCGGAAGCCGGAAGCCAAAACAGCGGACCAGCATTCGAGGCCTTCCCGGCGTTCCGCGCGGTCCGAGGGGATCGTTTGGGTGAAACACCGTCCCCCGCGGTGACTTCCAGTGCGGGGAAATGTCACTAAAACGGGCACTTCCGGGGTTTATGTCAAACCGAAAGCCGGAAGTCTAACCCTCTCACAACTGTTCAGGTCCTTCCAAACGTTCCGCGCGCAGTTCGCGGGGTCCGTGGGGTTGGCGGGGTCGTCTCGTGATACTCCATACCTCTAAGAAAGACACCGAAGACGGGCTCTTCCGTGATCTAACTCAAACCGGAAGCGGGAAGTATAAATGGCTTACCGGTGTTCGTGATCTTCCACGCGGCTACCGAGCGGTCCGCGAGGTCCGTGGTGTCCGCTGGGGCGACACCTAGCCCCACCCGGACATCAGGTGAGGGGAAACACCTCCAAAACAGGCACTTCCGCTTCCTCAGTCAAATCAGAGAGCAACGGGTGGAAGTCAGTTCGCTGCCATAGCCCCTTAGTGTCAGTGTCGTGAATATTTATGAGTCTATTTGCATATTAGTATTGTCTAATTCCGTGGGTGATTACGTTATGTGAATATTAATCACACTCCACGGAATAGTGCAGCATGTGATCAATATTCATGGTATCGTTTGCATGTCTTCTATCGCTCACCCCTGGGTGAACATAAGACGTTATAGGAATATTCATGAGTCGACTTGCATCTTGCTTATCGATCCTCTGGATGGTTATGGACATACAAACTTAAATATTCACTAGGTGATTTGCATATTGTCCATCCTCCTGCGGCTTGCCATGCGAAGGTTCCTTAATTGTGGAGCTCCGTTGATCCCCGTGGCTGAATAGGTGGTGGGGATAGTGCCCCATAGTTGCAGACTCTAGTGAATATTCTTGAGGCGATTTGCATATTGAGTCCAGACTTCCTGGTATGGAGATCCCACATGAATATTCGGGAGGCAATTTGTATATTTATTATCGATCCTCTACTGACTGGACCATGAGAATATTCATGAGCTCTTTTGCATAGTAATATTGGTATTCTCAGGGATATTCTGAAACAAATGTGAATATTCACGTGCTGATTTGCATTTTAATAGACTCTCCTGTGGGTTGTTATGATAAGTCTCCTGAATATTCATGAAAATATTTACACATTGACCCTAGATCCCCATGACAGATTATGTCCCTCGAATATTTATAATGTGGCGCGGATAACGCCCTGACGCTTACAGACTGATGAATATTCACTAATAGATTTGCATATTGAGCGCCTATGTTTCCTGGTTGGCGAGGATGCCTCTCGTGAATATTCAGGAGGCGATTTGCTTATTGATTGTTGAAGCTCCTGTGGGCGGTCATGAGACGTAAGATTAATATTCATTTACATATTGATTTACATATTGATTATCCTCTGGTGGATGGTGACGAGACGTCACGTTAAGGTAATAACGCACGCGGATATATGAATATTAATTATCTATTTTTCTGTGGGTGGTCATGAGATATCACATGAACACTTACGGAACTATTTTAATATTGATTATCGATCCTCCTGTGTCTCTTATGCGGCATTCGTGAATATTCATGACGAGATTTACATATCGATTATCGATCCTCTCGTGGATGGTTAAGAGATGTGACATGAAATTTCAGGAGATTATTTGCATGTTTATTAGCTTCTCTGTAAGCCCTTTAGCTTTCCACAGTCCTCCAAATATTGACAGCTGGGAGGCCCCGCCCTTTTGACCACGCCCCCGAGACTCAGTCCTCCCACTCAGGTTCTTCAGTTTCCCACACCGCCACGCCCAGTTCCGGCTCCCTGTCCGCCATGCTCCTCCCATTTCCAGAACCCTCCCTTTCCACACCCACCCATCCACTTCCGGCCTCCTCTCCCCAGCGCTTCTACCCCAGCCGGATCGCGTGGCCATCGTGACAGGCGGAACCGACGGTATCGGTCTGAGTACGGCGAGGCAGCTGGCGGCTCTGCGCATGCGCGTCGTCATAGGTGGGCGTGGTCCATGGTTGTGGGCGGGGTCGCACGCCAGGTGGCATGGCCATGGTATTTGACGAACCGGATTGAAATTCTGGGCGAAGTCAGGGGGCGGAGTTCTAAAACAGGACATCCCCACCACCAATGGAGAGCAACAATCTGCACGTGAACTTCTTGAGCCCAGCCTGCGACGCCATCCTGTTTTCTTATAGCGGGAAATAACGTAGAGAAGGCGCCGGAAGTCATCCGTAAAATCCGAGAGGAGACAGGGAACAATGACGGTAAGGGGGCAATGTTCTATGGCGCGGGGCCTGATCTTCAGGTAGTTGGGCCAGAGAATGAGGTGATGGGCTGGAGGACAGAGGGCGGGATGAGGGGCTGGAGGGTGATTGACAGTAGGAGGTGCGGGTCCTTCTCCCAGTGCACTTCCTGTTTTTGGATCTGGCCTCCCTGGCGTCCGTGAGGAAGTTTGCGAGGGACTTCGCAGCCCTGGGACTCCCGCTGCACGTGCTGGTGAACAATGGTGAGGGCCTGGGCAGGGCCTCGGGGAGGGCCGGGGCCAACAGAGGAGGGCTTGTGGGCCGGGCTTTGGGTGAGGTGTCTGGGCGTGTCCTGGGGAGAGGGAGGAGCCTAGCGGGGAGGAGGGGCCGCGCCTCAGAAGGCCGGGATTCAGTTGTAGATGCTAGGCCTCCTGGAAGTGTGTGGGGCCTAGTGTGTGAAGGTTTGGGACCGGGCCCACACTGAAAGCACAGTTTTGCATATTCATAGATTATTTGCATAGACCACCCTGCGCTTCCCGTGTGTATGTAAATGAAGGGCGTGGCTGGAGGGTGGGCGGCCTCCAGCGGGAAGGAAGGAAGGTGAGGGGGGGGTCAGCCCCTGGGCATGCTGGGAAAACGGATCCTCCGGTGGGCAAAGCTTCCTGTCACTGTCTTCTGATGTGATACGTGATCCAGACCATCACCCGTAACCCTTGACTCCAACCCCCCCACCCCTGACTCCGCTCCACAGCAGGTGTGATGCTGGAGCCACGCGGGGAGACCGTGGACGGGTTCGAGCGGCACTTGGGCGTGAACTTCCTCGGCCACTTCCTGCTCACGCACCTACTGCTGCCCCTACTGCGAGCTTCGGGAGAGCCGGGGCAGGCAACGCGCATCGTCACTGTTGCCTCAGCCACACACTACGTGGGGGAGCTGGACATGGATGACCTGCAAGGACGGTGAGGGGCCTTAAGAGCAAGGAGTGTGGTGCAGGGCGGGGCTTCATCAGAAGGATGCAGCGCCTCAAAGTCAAAGTCGTGGGCTTCAAGTCAGTGGTCCTGGCCTCATCGGCATGGGTGCGGCCTCAAGTTATTGGGTTTGCCTTTAAGTGAAAGGGGCGGGGCCTAGCGGGAAGGGAACCAATCAGGATGAGAGCGGGCGTGGCCAAGGAAAGGGCAGAGTCTGAAATAAAGAGACGACTTTGCAGGGAAGGATGTGGCATCAAGGTGGAGGGCTGAGTGGGAGTGGCTATGTCGATCGGGCATGGCTTGTACCGGAAGGGCAGATCATGAGAAGTAGGCGGGACTTGATCGACAAGGGTGTGTCGTGAAAGGGTAGGGCACTGATAATAAGTGGACGGGGCGGAGGAAAGGGAGCCGGATGTGCAGGGACTGTGTGGGGCTGGGCCGTGATATCACCCAGGCAGTGGGCATCTCCTCCCCTCCCGTAGCGCCGCCTACTCTGCCCACGCGGCCTACGCGCAGAGCAAGCTGGCGCTCGTGCTGTTCTCCCGGCGGCTGCAGCGGCTGCTGACGTCACTCGGCGACCCCGTGACCTCGAACGCGGCCGACCCCGGCGTGGTGAACACGGCACTGTACCGCCATACCTGCCTGGGCATGCGCGCCGCACGGAAGGCACTGGGATGGCTGCTTCTTAAGGTGCACAGGGTGCCCAGGGCCCCCAACCTGGCCGCAGACTCGGGGCCCTGCCCACATCCCCGGCTCCGCCCACACCCCCTGGGCCCCGCCTACCTCAGCGGTGACTGACACTTCAGGCCCCACCCATATCACCCGAGAATGATTGACGGTGCCTCCACCCCCTTCCTTGACACCCCAAGGCCCCACGTCCCCATTTCCGAGTTTGACTGAATTCCTGAAGCCCCCACACCTTCCCTGTGATACCCCAGGTCCTGCCCCTTCCCTGGGTTGATGGAAACCCCCCTCTTCTGGGTTTGATTGACTTATAAACCCCCCCTCTCTTCCACCCATACTCCTCCCCCAGAGCCCAGAAGAGGGCGCCTGGACTTCCGTGTTTGCTGCTGTTGCTCCAGAGCTGGAGGGGGTCGGGGGTCGCTACCTGCGCGACGGAGGCGTTGAGGCTGAACCGCTTGGGGTCACAGGCAACCTGGGACTGCAGCGACGCCTGTGGGCGGAGGGCTGCCGGTTGACGGGCATAGCCTGGGGAGACCCCGAGCTGTGACATCACAGAGCCAGCCTCACCATAGTTATCACAATTAAACGGTTTCCTGCCTGGTGCAACCTGTTTCTGGTTCGATTGGTCGCCCTTACAGGGGTGGAGGTAGGTGATGGCACTTTCGACATGCCGGCCACCCCCTCACCCCTACACTGAGGCCTCACTTCCGCCTTTGCATGCACTTCCTGTTTCTCTTTTTCACACTAAAGGTTGAATGACTACCGGCCTGGGCGTCATAAGGGATGGTGTGGGCGGAGTTCCCAGAGGTGACTTCTCCGAAGAGTGGGCTCCTAGGGTTGCCCTGCCCATCTCCCAAGAGGCCCTGTTCCAATGTGGGTAACCCTGCCAACCACCTTGATGTTACAGCGGACCGCACTTGAGAACTAATTTATTCATTCAGACATGATATCACTTCTTAAATGCCCCCAGTGACACCAGTCACCGATTCCCCCACCACATGGATGGATGGAATGACTTCCGGGTCAGGCAGCACCTCTCCAGGTTGGCTGGAGTAACTTTCTGGTGTCCCTCAATGGTGGGTGGGTCACTTTCTGGGTTGTTTCCGCATGTGACTTCACTTCCTGGAAGTACCCACCACTGTCAATGGTCATCTCCCCCTTCCTGGGGGCAGATAATGTCATTTCCAGGTCTGGAAGGGTCACTTCCAGGCCAGCATGGTGGCATAGGGCCCCCTTGTCCGAACCATCCGGAAGTGGCTGAACCCCGCCCTGGCCGTCAGGGCCCGGTACTCAGCTTCTGTGCGCTCCCGCCCGAGTGTCTGAACGGCCATGTTGAGTGACAGGAGCAGCGCAGGGAGGCGGGCTGGGCCAGTGGGGTCACCCTCTGGGGGCAGCAATGCCTCGACCAGTAGCAAAGCCGTCCCTGGGGTGGAACAGGTCGATGGGTGACCCCATGTGACCTCTGTGAACCTGTAATGACCCTCATGTGGCCCCTTGTGACTCTCATGACCCTGTGATCCCCCTGAACCCACCTTGACACCCATGGCACTATGACTCTTGAACTCCCTGTAGCCCCACTGACCCCATGGTAACCCTGTAAACTTGTATGACTGCCTGACTTTTGTGTGACCCCACATGACTATCATGACCCCTGGACATCCCATGTGACTGCATGACTCCTGTGACCCCTTTGACCTCCGTGACCCCATACCACCCCTTGTGACTCTCATGATCCTGTGTGACGCCCTGAGCCTCCTTGACACCTGTGACCCCGTATGACTTTCCTGTGACACCTAGTGACTATCATTACTCCGTGTGACTCTGCATGACTTGTGTGACCCCTTGTCATCCCCCGTGACCCCTTGTTACCCCTGCTTGACTCTCATGATCCAGTGACAACCCTTGACCCCAGTGACACCCTGTGACCCCAAGTAACGCTGTGTGACCTCGTGACACTCCTGTCCCCCCCCCCATTTGACCCCTTGATTACCCCCATGACCCCAGGCCTCACCCGCCCCACCCGCCATGCTGATCCGACCCAGCAGCCCCGCACAGGCCTCGTCTGTCCAGTCGTGCAGGACCCGGGCCAGGATGTACAGGTCGGCAGCTGGGAGGCGGGATCGAAAGAAGTCACCTGTGGGAGGGCAGGGTTACAGAGGCGGGATCTCGGAGGCTAAGTTACATAGGTGAGAGGTGGGGCCATACGGAGTGTTCAAATAATCCACTCGTCCAGGCCACACCCACCTCCCAGGAAGTGCACCACTGGCTCAATCCCAGGGGACTGGAAGGGCGGGGCCTGCGCCGCGGCAATCACTTCCGGGGTGTCGAACACGGTGACGTCGCTCCCGGGGTAGAGACGGGCGAGCTCGCAAGCCAGGGCCCCGGAGCCGCCTGCGAGGTGGTAGAGGGAGGGGGGTGGACCGTGGGGTGTCACAGCAACTTCCTGTCACCTCCTGATGTCGCTTCTTGTCATTCCCACTGCCACTTCCTGCTCACCGGGCATCACTTCGGGCCCTTCTGTAGCCACTTCTTTTCCCTGGGAAAGTCACTTCCTTTCCTTTCCAATGCCACTTCCTGTCACTTCCAATGCTACTCCTGGCCCCAGGGACATCACTTCCTGTACCTTGGGAGGTTGCTTCTTGTACCCTGGGATGTCACTTCCTGTTCCTCCTGCTACAATATCCAGTCTTTCTGGGATATCACTTCCTGACCCTCCCACTGCCACTTCCTGTCCCTGGGGAAATCCCTTCCTGTGTCCGAGACCTCGCCCTGCCTCGTCCCGGGCCTCACCACCGACGTCACAGACGACCCGGAAGGGTGAGAGGTCAAACGCCGTGAGGACATGACCCCCGCACACGCTCCAGGTCTCCTGCAGGGCGCGCATGAATAGCAGGCGCTCTGGCTCCGACCTGGGGATGGGGTCAGGGATCATGAGTGGGCGGGGCGTCTTCAGGGAGAGGGCGGAGTCAGGGCGGAAAGGGGCGTCTTTAGGGAGAGGGTGGGCTTTCCTTAAGGAGAGGGAGGGTCGATCAGTGAGAGGATGGGGAGTCATCAACTATGGAGCAGGTGTTATCAGAGGGGGCCGGGTCAGGGGTGGGCGAGACATAGTCAGAGAGGTTGGGACAGGGGGGTGTGGGCAGGGATTCAGGGGTAGGTGGGGCATTTAAAGGACGTCCTGGGGGTGGGTGGGATATCAGGGAGCCAGCAGCAGGGTATGGGAGGAGCTTCCTCGGGGAAAGGGTGGTGCAATAGAGAGAGCGGGGCAATTGCCAGGTAGAGCTTGGTTGTTGTCATGGGATGGGACGGGCGTCGTCAGCTCCTCCCACAATCCCGGTGGGGGGCGGGGCTGAGGCGACCATCCCACCTGTAGATGGCAACAAAGGGCTCCTCGGTGTCCACACCCACGGCACGCCCGTACTGGCTCCGCCCTTCCCTGTGGGCAGGGTTGGAGAGATGGGGGCGGGGTGCATCACCTGTGTTTGTGAGTCTTCTTCCCCGAGACACCGTGGGGAGCCCTACCCACGATGGTACCCGCCCACCCATTCCGACCCTGCGTGTCCTGTATACCTGCCCTGCCTCCCACACGGCCTCCTGCTGCAACCACCCTGCCACCCGGCCCAGTGCACCCTGGTACTCGGCCCAGCTCTCCTCCACCCATAACCCTGAGTCATGGGTGTCCACTCCTCACCCCGCCCATGGTCCTGCCCACTTCTCGCTGACCCCGACCACCCGCCCTGTGCATCATGGGTACCTGCCCCACCCATCCTGACCTGCTAAACCCTGGGTATTATCCTGCACCGCCCCAGAGCATCATGGGGATCCATCCCCCACGACCCCGGAACAATCTCCCCCACCCCCGTACTCCTCCTTGACCCTTAATCCCCAAACCTCACCCCGCCCAGCCCAGCCCCCGGGGTGTCACCTGACAGCTCGGCCCAGCTGCCCCCAGCAGCGGTACGGGGTCCCAGCCAGGTAGAGCATCATGTGGCGCTGACACCGGGGGCTGCCTGCAACCAGCAGCGATGATGCCAGTCGGGTGTTGGCGAAGGTGCCTGCGGGTGGGCCGGGGTCAGGACACACCCACCGTGAGGGCACACCCACCATATCAGCCACGCCTGCCCTGAAGACATACCCACAGTAGGCCACGTCCACCATGGCAGCCATTTCAACTGTCAGCTTCGGCCTCCACACCGGCCACGCTCAACATCAACTACAGCCACATAAGCCACACCCACCATGTCAGCCATGCCCACCATGAGGGCACGCCCACAGGGCTGCTACCCTGACAACCCCCTGGCGGACACACCCACCAAGTCAGCCACACCCACGGTACGGCCACGCCCACTGCCGACCCTGTGTCAACCACAACCACGAACACTGCCATGCATATCTAGCAGTCAACCATACCTCCCATGTCAGGCTCCACCCATCACATAGGTCCCGTCCACCATCTAGCCACGCCCACGTCGGAGCCCAATCACATCAGCGCCGCCCACCCTAATCACCATCCATCAGCCAATCGGCCCTGTCCATGTTGGATCCGCCCACCACACCAGCCACACCCCATTCAGCCCTCCAGCCACGCCCACCGTCCGGCCCCACCCGCAGCAGCCCCAGTTCCACGCAGGCTTCCAGCAGCAGTCGGGTATGGCCGGGACTTGACCCTGTGGCCCTGGCAATGGCTCCCACGTCGGCCGTTCCAGAGGCTGCAATGACATCGAATACACCGAGGTCGCAGGCGGAGAACACGACCTGCGGGGAGTGAGGAGGGGGCGGGAGAACTGAGCACGAGCACCCTGACCACTCCCACCCTGACACAACACCGGCCCCAGAGACCCCGCACCTGCGACACCATGAAGCCATGCGCGTACTCCATGAGCACCCGGAAGTCCCGATCCTCGGGGGCCTCATCCTCCCGCCACTCGTCCGAAGCCATATTGTCTTGGGGCAGGCAGATCATACTCCCATCCTGAGTGGCCACACCAGGGGACTTTTATAAACCTGTGAGGAGAAGGGGGAGGGGCAAATCACTCAGGGGCCAGTGACGTCCGTGGGCTGAACCGGATCAAGCCGGATTGGCCTCAATCCCCCATCAGGTCCCTCCTCAGTCTGTCCTCCTCCTCACTCAGTACTCCTCCTCCGAAATCCTCCCCTTCTACAGTCAGTTCTCTTCCTCACATAGTCCTCCTCACTTAATCCTGCTCCTCATTCATTCCTCTTCTTCCTCACTCAGTCCTCTTCAGCCAGTCCTCCTCTTCGCTCAGTCCTTTTAAGCAGTCAGTCCTCCTCCACTCAGTCCTCGCCCTCACAAGTCTTCCTCCTCACTCTGTCCTCATCCTCACTCAGTATTCCTCCTCAGTATTCCTCCTCAGTCATCTTCCACTCTCAGTCCACCTCCTCAGAGAGTCCTCCACATTCAGTCCTCCTCATCACTCAGTCGTCCTCCTCACTCAGGCCTACAGCTCACTCAGCCCTCCTCCTCATAGTGTGCTCCTCCTTACTCAGTCCTCCACCTCTTCTCTCAGTCCAATTTCTCTCTCAGTCCTCCTCCTCACTCAGTCTGCTTTTTCACTCTGTCTTCCTCCTCCCTCTGTCCTCTTCCTCACTCAGTCCTCC